CTCTGCCTCTACTCTTCCGCCTCTGATTTCTCAATCCCTGTGTGCCTGCCTGCCTGCATCCCCTCTCTCTCCTACTGCCACACCCTGGGTCTCTCCGTCTGCCTCGCCCATCACACCCACTGCACTCCTTCCCACTCCCTGTACTTCATTGTCACTGACCCCTCTATGCATGCCACCCACTTGCCCGCTCCCCCCCCGCCCCCGTCCAGGGATCGAACTGACCGATAGCCTCGCCATGTCCCCGGCGGCCTCCGTGTGCGGCCTCTACTTCTCCAGCCCCAAGTCCACATACTTCGGGGTCGGCAAGATCACCAAGGAGCAGGTGACGGCACCGCACCCGCATTCAGTGTCCACCGATAGTGAGGTCAAGGGTTAAATGCCCGGCTCGTTCATTCTCCTCCCCCATCACTTCGAGAAGTGTCTTTATCCATACACAGTCTGTAGGCATGTGTTGTGATTTAAGTTCATGGTTCAGCTCAAGGATGGATTCATTTTTTTGTCTTGTTATAATTCTAGGTTTTCTGCCTTGTTTGTAAAGCTTTGTCTGCTTCTTGAACATGCAATTTGGAATACATTGTAATAGTCTCACGAATTACTTGATGTATATATCACAACCATAATAATCTACATTGTTGCATGGTTGTATTGCATGGCTATTCACCATATTGTCATCTGCTTTCCACCCATGTCAGTAAATCCTCACTTCAAACCGTCCGAGTATTTTTTTTTCATTCGATCCATTTAACAAAAATTTGCCGGCAATTGCAACAGTTGGTTAGCCCATTTGCTATTCGCGAATAAACAATCGTTATCATGTTGCAATTGCTGTGTTGATATAACTGTGACGTGTCGTTGCATCGCCCAGGTGGAGGATTACGCGACGCGCAAAGGGATCACGCTGGAGGAGGCGGAGCGCTGGCTGCGACCCAACCTCGCCTATGACGCTGACGCCGCCAATGGCTACAGATAACGGCTCTCACTGCCGCCGGGGCGTAAACCACTGCCACCGCGGGGCTAACGCTTACCCGCGCCGGGAGACGACGCCACCATTGGCGCCACTCGCGTCGCTCGCCCCACTCGCCCCCCCCCTCCTCCCCGCCACGGCGTCAACAACATCCCCCGATGGGCGGTGGCTCCGGTGAAATGCCGCCGATAAGGCGGCCACGCGCGGAGGACAACGAAAACACTACGGTTGAACTTTACTAATGCTGCTGCTGTGGCTGCCGTTAGCAGGCACCCGGCGATTTTCAATGGTGCTCGGGGTATGGACGCCACTTTTCGCGGCCCACTGTGACGGACGCATCTGTTTACTGTGAAACCCCATAGCGCTGTAGTTGCTTTGTACCGCTCGCTCATTCGTCCGTTCACTCGCTGCACCGCAGACGTCGTTGACGGACTCCGTGGGTGCGGGGTGAGGATGGGTGCTGCACGTCAGTGCCGAACACCTAGCGGAACATTTTGTGGGATGCTGGGAAATAATTTCAGGATGAGAAATTGATTGCATATGAATTTAGTTAATTATGTACATGCCTTTATATGTATATGAAAAACAAGTTGTACATCAAGGCTACTTGTTTATTTAACAATTTAGCAGTCCATCGGGCACGCAAAGCACGTAATGGAGTTAAATTGGTCAACTCGGAGAGATGTGCCACTGAGGTCACGAGTCCTGGGGTAAGTTGACCTTTCGTGCTACAGGCACTCAAACGCCCAGGGTTCAATTTCGGCGGAGTCTGTCCAGAATATATTGCAGTATCTGTGCCAGGCACACCACATCCGGCAGCGTTTACCTCCCACTGTGGCTGTCGATCGCTCCTCACGCACTTACTCCAGTTTCCGTGCGACCCGAATCCATCCAGGTCTGTAACCCGAAAATAATTCGGCACCCAGCACACCACATCCAGTATGTATGTATGTTGAACTTCTTTTGCACACACCGTATGTAGCCAACCGTGCTAATCGGAGGTGCGGGAAAGGACAACAAACTAAACACAAATGGAAGTTCTAAAGAGGTTAGTTTTCAATCTCGATGATTTCAAAGTATACCTCTCACACTGGCTGTTTTCTACATGTCCAGGTGCTCCGACGTATTACAATTACAGTATTTTCATCTTTCTTGAATTCCTAATTTAGGCTGAGTCTCTCCCTCTAGAGCAGGGTTCTGCAATTAAAAAAAGGCATTTTCGTTCGAAATCGATTAAAAAAACTATTTCAAGAGCCGCAATGCACGTGTAGAATACGAGACGGTGGCCCTTAATAAATAACGTCTCAAAACGGTCCTTAATGAGCCGCATGCGGCTCCAGGGCCAGTTTGCCGACCCCTGCCCACGGTGAACTGGACTCCCACGGTGAACTAGGCTCCTAAGGTGAACTGGGCTCCCATGGTGAACTGGGCTCCCACGGTGATCTGGACTCCCACGGTGAACTGGACTCGCACAGTGAACTAGACTCCCATGGTGAACTGGGCTCCCACGGTGAACTAGACTCCCACGGTGAACTAGACTCCCACGGTGAACTGGGCTCCCACGGTGAACTGGACTTCCACGGTGATCTGGACTCCCACCATGAACTGGGCTCCCACGGTGGTCTGGGCTCCCACGGTGATCTGGGCTCCCACGGCCAGGGGTTAGCAATGAAAATAACAATGAGCCATTTTTTTTCCCCCAATTTCAAGAGCCGCCGTATGCGGCTCCTGGTTGCCGACTCCCGCTCTGGAGGATCATGTCTCTAGAGCTCCCTCTATAGTGGGAGCCCAGTCATTGCAGCGCTGCAGTTTATCTCTTGCCTTGGGTCACACCTCACTCTTCACCGTCTTGTGCGCACGTTGGCATCAAACGAATGTATGTATCACTTGAAATTGATTTTTTTCATACAGAATTTATCATGCTATATTTTGTGTAAGTTTAAATGTTAATGCAGAGAATTATTTAACAATTAAAAAAATACGTTGGAGTTTGTGTTCACACTTTGATTACTGTACCGTTTGTAGTTTTTGCGTGTTTATGCAGTCTTAAAAGTTGCAAAATGTTTACCCAAGTTTTACGTTTTACACAGCACTTTTGTTAAAATACTCTTCCCCTATATGTCTAGTTTGTCTATTTTGGCCTGTTCACGTATATTCCTTTTAGTTTTCATCATGAATGTTGCTATATTTCAGTGTTATTTTTTGGCAAACTTTGCCCACGTCATTTTATTTCAGTACGAGAGAGAGAAAACAAAAACATTTGTTCTTGAACAGAATCGTGACCGCGCATCGTGAAGATCGAATCCACAGTGGGTGCGAATCTACGCCTCTTAGCCCGGTGCTAGCGGTCCGTGGCCTGTTAGGAACCGGGCCGCAAAGCAGCAGGAGGTGAGAGCGGTGAGTCCGCGCGTGGGCCACCCTCATTGTTTTATTTACCACTTCCGTCCGCGCCTCTTTCTCGCAAGCTGACCCCTAGTCAAAATGAGTAAAAAACAAACGTCGCTGGAGAGCTTCTTTGAAAAGGGAGAAAGACCCAATGATGACCCCCCCCTCCCCGTCCGTGAAAAAATTGTCTTCCACGATACCGGTCCCTGGTGCCAAAAAGGATTGGGGACCGGTGTTCTACATTGCAAGGCACGCGGGGCATTGGCGGCTCCTGGTGGCGTTTCGTGCGGCCCTCGACAAGACTCAAGTTAAAACACTACCCCCCCCCCAGTCATTATAGCTGTCAACCCATACGGTTTGTTCCGTATTCTTGTACAGGGAAATTGAGTTTTCAGGTCCATACGACGGGCAACACAATTTTTATGTTTTTTGTGTTTCTTGTGATGGGACATTGTAGGACGAACGTTGTGACTTAGAAGGGCACGGCGTGACCAATAAGGTCCGAAATTGGTCTGTAATAAGGTAGGGCACTGATAAGATGTTGGCAAGTATGCATCACCATCGTACTGTCAAACCCCAATGGTTTCAAATGTGACGAACCTTACACCGAAGTATTATCGGCGAAAGTGCCCCCCCTCTGAAAATGAGCGAAGGACACTGGGCTTAGCCGATTGAGTTACGCAGGAGGTGCAACTTCACAGGTTCTGGGATATGAAGCGGGGGAATGAGGCGGGATGGTACTGGAGGCCCACTATCATCACTTGCACCGGCGAGGTGGGGGAGTAGGCCTCGGTAAGGTAAGGTAAAAACGAGCCTACCTTTACCCTACCTTTTACCTTCCAATACAATCACTCTACCCTACCTTTTACCCTTCAGCAGGTAAGGTAAAAAGCAACGAGCCTACCTTTACCCTACCTTTTACCCTTACCCCATACAAATTACCCGATTACAGGGTAATTACTGGGGTACTACACATGAACAAGGTTTATAACAGGTAAATGCTAGGTAGAGCGCTTCATTCATATAGAATACTCTCGATTATTCCAATTTTACACGCTTTCTTTTAACTCACTGTTGTATCCTCAAATCTTGTAACTCAATTTTAACCCACTTTCCAATGTGGATTCGACTGCAAACTTGGTATACTTATGTCATACTGATGACAATACTATATTCTATCATTAAAAATAAAATTAATTTTAACCTTTTATGTTATGTTTTGGCTTGGGTCTAATTGTCCACTGACAACTGACGTTGGCTGTAATTGCCCACGGCCCCTTACGTTGTGGCAAGCTTCGGGGCCACTTCCTGGAGTCGTGGAGTTCTTACATTACGAGCACATTTCATAACAGCGTGTTTTTTAAAAAGTTTTAAAAAATATTACTTATTAAATGGATGCCACGGACTGCGCCAAGGAGCTTTTAGCAGTAAACAAGGCACCGTATTTACCGGGTTAATACTTCGCGCTACCTTTACCCTACCGGGTAATTCTAACGAGCTACCTTAAAAAGGGTAAATTACCTTACCTTGCCGAGGCCTAGTAGGGGAGGCATGCCAATCACACGTAAAAGACAGTGGGGGTGAATATTCACTTGATTGATGAACACAGCACTCGCAATAACAAATAACTGGCGCACACACACACACGGGGTTGATGGTAGCCGGTGGGTTTATTGAGGAACAGGATTTATACTGGGCTGGGCGAGGGCGTAAGGGCGGCGCGTCTTGGTCCGTCTTCTCATGGTGGACGAGACCTCCAACACTCAGATCTTGTCCAGTTGCTGAAGAACGAACGGCGCTGCGGAACAGAAGGAGCAACGCGCGCGGTCTCCGCTCAACGTGTGCGATGGGGCTGGCGGTCCATGCGTGGACAAGCGAGTATTTGAACACACGAGTTTGCACGTATTTCATATTGCAGATGACGGCACGTGGAGCCGAGGAATTCACACTATGGCCTCATAACCCCCCCCACCCCAGAGGACTGACGATGTTCACGACACCGACCTTCCCCGCACCTCCAATTCGCACGGTTGGGCTACGTACGGTGCGAAAGAGGTTCAACATGCCGAGTTAACGGTGTTGATGTCCTGATGCTGACCTTGAAGATGGTATCGATGACGCCGATGACGTTATTTGATGACGATTAAAATATTGATGGTGATGAAATGACGTTGTTGACATAGGCGCTGACGTGATGTTGATTGTACCGTTAACTGAAGATGCGAAGCGTGAGAGATGGGGCTGAAGGAGTTGACACAAACAGTGGCATGTGAACGGCTGATGATGTTAATGACGACGATGATGATGATGCTGTGGGCGGGCAGTTCCCCCACTCCCTCACCTGCTCGCAGCACGACCACGTAAATGAGGAAATTTCGTGCGGTGCTCCACACGTCGGCACGCATCTTCCTCCTGATCTCCTCGGGGTCCGGCTTCGGGCCTAGCCCCTCCAGGCGGAACATCGCAACTCGGGTGGTGGGGTACCGAGGTCACGGTCAAAGGGTCAAGAGGTCGTCAGCCACGTGTCCCGCGCAGGAGCCGCGCGCCGGCTGTAAGTCAGCCACGTGCGGCACGCGCAGGAAGTGAGGGCCACGCGAGCGAGGGTGGGTGGGGGGGTGACCTGGAAGTGACGTAACGAGCGGCCCGGCGGCCCCGGACCGCGCATAGTCGCATAAGAAGTCACGTGTGACGGCGTGCGCGGAAACGTGAATACGACTCGCAGTGGAGCACGTGGCGACGGTGGGCCACGTGCTCACGTTACCCGTCGCTGTGTTGTTGGTCGCTGCGGTTCAGAATCCATGGCTGTCAAACCCCTTGTCAGTGCCCAACCTTATTAGACCAATTCAGACCTTTATTGGTCACTCCGTGCCCCTTATACATATTAACGTTCATCCTACCAAGTCGCATCACAAGGGAAGAAACAAGTAGACAAATTAAAATCTTTGCCTGTATTGAGGCGCTGTTCTACCACTAGGAGGCGCTGTTCTACCACTAGCGGCGCTGTTTCATTGCCTTTTACCTTTAAACGCTCATTTTGTAGCAAATACAATTTCAAATGCTTCAACATTCATACAGCAACCCGTGGTCACGAAAAATCACCATGGAACTACTCAAACACAGAAAGCTCCACGAGAACGGTACCATTGGTGATCTGCTATTAGGCGGCACCCTTTTATTGAACATTCACATTAAAACCACTTTTTCTACACCAACAAACTCTTTTCAGGTAAAACAAAATTCAAGTTTGAAGTTTCCTTTGTTTAACCATGTGAGAACTCATGCGACCAGGATAATTGTCAATTATGGATAGATGCCTGACCGTTCAAAGCCCCACATGAAACAGATCTGTGAGAGTACCAAATCAAGAATCGCCCTGCTATCGACACTTGGATGGAAGGACCAGGGACTCCTCAGCTGACGCACTGCGAACTGCCACCCTCTCACCGGGCCTACTCCGTGGCACACCACTGAGCTCCAGTCGGCTCCAGAAGCCAGTACACAAACTTGCTCGATGCACAATTACAAACACGCACCGCGCATTATAACCGGCACAACCACAACCGACACCCAATCCCCTGGCTCCCTGTTCTGACTAGCATTCTGCCACCAAATATCGACACACTACTGCAAGGGAGTTCACACATTTTCTTGGCAACGAAAACCACCTACCCATTAACCAAAACCTCGACAAAGTTCCTCGCCACTGACTGAAGACCCGATCCCCCTTCTGCGATCACGCTGCTGCCACCATGCGAATATATCACCCAGATCTGGAAGCACACTTCGCGAACAGAGTGGAATCAACGCAGACGTCCAAAATGAACACCTCATTCGTCAACCGCATCAGAACATCTACAGGCCGATGCACACATCTCCTTTTTGAATGGAAAATTAAAGACAAGCAACAACATCACTTGGTGGGGGCAGCAGGCCCCTCTCCCCCACCTTTTACCTCCCCTCCTTTATATGATCCAGTTGCGTCGGGACTGTCCGTCGGGGAAATGTGAAACCCGGTTATGCGACCCGCGCAGCGTGCTGTATCGTGGGCTTGTGTTGTTACGATAAAAGCAGCAGCAGCAGCAGCAGCAAAAGGGCACAATCAACAGTAATGAGATCGTGCCCATGCAATCCAAACTATGGACCAAAGAGTAAAACCACTGTAGTCTGCAGCCACCTCCTTCGACAGAGGAAGAGCAAAAGGACACGAACTCTCTCTGCTGAAGCTCTCTCGTGACTGGCGGACCTCGACAGAATAGGAGTCTCATTTGCAAGAGTGCCACTGCCTCAGTGATTCACAGGTGATGTTGCACAAAGCTGTGACTCGGCGCTCTGCCCTCCTGACTCACCTCGTGAATGTGGATTGTTTATAAATCTCGGCTTTTTTAACCAGCAGACGAGGTGTGTGTGTGGATAATCTGAGCAAAGTAAGAATTTGTTGAGTTTTTTTAATTGTCGAAAAACACAGTCACATTTCTATATTTCAAGTCCGGTTTATTTTTTGTTTACCAGTTTTTTCTTCCAAATAGTTCAAACTCACCTCAGCGACCGCAAATGCCCATTACCTAGCACTTCGGAGACAAGGGTGTTCGGATCAAACGTAAATGACTCGCGCGTGGATGCGTGACGACAACAAGACTGCAAAACAGCAAGCGGGTTCACAAACCCATCCGTGCGGATCGATTTCCCTCATGCGCATGGTGGGTTATCTCCACGTACTCTGGTTGTTGCGCTCACATGAAGCGTCGATTATTTAAATACACAGTGCTTAAAAAGGTTCAACATATTTGGAGATAACGCTGGCTTAAAATAAAAACCAATGTTTTCTTATAGTTCTACGGAAAGTGTTGAGTTTTTTTTGTTAAATGTGCTTGTGCACCGTTGCCAACCCAGAAGCAGCAGCAGCATCACCAGATGATTTGGTTATTTAAAAAGGAATCAGCCAAATTTCCCGAAGGGGCAGAACCCTTCGGGGAAAAGGGAATCTTGAGACTCGTCGAGGCCTTCCTAAATAAATAATTATTTAAGTGTTGCAGAGCGACAAAATAAATGTTTCAGGACCTCACACCGAAACCCACATGAACGAGGAAATGAACTCAACAAACAATATAATTCACAAGCACCTTTGTCAAGCCACTGCTGAATGAAGACCTCCCCATGCCGTGTCACAAGAGGATGTGTGACCAAACAAAACCGGTGTGGCTTAGGTAAAGGTGGTGGATGATGCAGGACTGGTTTATCCACCATGCCCACGAATTAAACTCAAAGTTGCCGGGGCCCATGATAGAACACATCGTGTACTAGTTACCAGGACACCGGAGCGATTTGATCATTTGCCACAACTCGATTCAAGAAGCTTTGTTGAGCGTTGTAGCAGCCACCACCACCGTGTGCTGCAGTCACGTGAAGCCCAGAGCGTCAGTCTGCCCAGGGGTGGTGATGGCGAGTGTCTAGTTGTGCCCGGGCGTGGTGGTGCTGGCCAGTGTCTCATTCCGCCCAGGTTCCCCTTCGCTCTTCTCCGTGTCTGGGCGAGGGGGCTCCTGCCAGTCGGCGCTCGCCCACTCTGGCGTCGGCGCCGTGTACTCCCAGCCGGGGCCGCGATAGCGCAGCGCATGCAGGAACATGATCAGCTGATCGGGCCTGGGGTCCGGCCGAGTCTGGCGACACTCGCTGCAGAGAGGGTCCTGCCCGCCAGCCCAGGAGTCCTCAGCTTCCGACGACGTCGTAACCGGCTCGTTTGTGCCGCCACCATCACCACCACCGCTGCCGGCACTGCTCTTCTGCGCAGTATCGTCATTTCCGCTGCATGCGATGCCCCCGCCGACGATACTCCCCCCCTCCCCATTGCCGATACTGCCGCAGTCACCGTCGCAGGATTCCGTCACCTCCTCGCCGAGCCGACGGCGGTCGGCGAGGAGGTCCTGCAGCAGCTGCTCGTCGCTCTTGCCGATGGTGCCGCCGCGGGCACGCGCCGGCCCCCACGCGGCCGTGTTGTACACGGGATCGTTGAGGATGGGGTGGCCCAGGAACTGCAGGTGCACGCGGATCTGGTGCATGCGCCCGGTCTCGGGCCGGCACAGCAGCACGCTGGAGCGGCCGTTGTAACTGAGGCGCGTGAAGGTGGTCCGGCAGGGCTTGCCGCGCGTGTCTACGCGGCACACGCCCACGCTGTACGACACCACAAGAACCGGCTCGGCGCACACCACCTCCTCCGCCTCCTCCCCCTCGCCACCCGGGAAGCGGCCCTCCACGCGGCACAGGTACTCCTTCTGCACCTGGTGGGGTCAGCGAGGCGGGGGCGGCAACAGAGGTCAGGGGTCAGGGGGTCAGGAGTCAAAGGCAAGGACGATGGTCTCCTGTTACTGCAACGCTCTCCCACGTGTCCATGTCATTCGGCATGGTGTCCGGTGTAATTCGGTTAATGAAGAAGCTTCCAGCATGTGGAACGAAACGTCAGACATCACGCAGAACAACTCAAAAACACATCGGAGAGCCACGCAGCGCAACCGCGAAAAGCTACACAGTCGTATCCTGTGACTGTTATTGATTTAACGTGTTGCAATTCAGGTTGAAAGTGTTCATGCTTTGGATCAGTTTCTCTTTCTGAAACCAACGGGCCCACAGTTACTCTAGTGGAGATGATCCAACATAAATACATGTTTTGCGTGAAGTTGCTTTTCTGTGGGGGACTTGTTAGAAAATCCGGCGAGATTGATACAAAAAAATTTCCGTAAACTTGGCGACAAAAAGAAAACAGCGCTAAAAGTATTGTCCTTGCAGGTGAAGGTGATTACGTTGTGCGGTTGTTGTGGCTCTGAAGCCAATAATACGATAGCTCATCAAACACGAGCACAAACGCGCGTGTTGGAAAGTGCGGCAACGCTGCCATGTGCGAGAGCGGTAACCGCCCAGCGCGAAACCATCTACGGCTCACGACCCCCGTTCCCCACCGGCCCCGGGGCTGACCTCTCGCTCGCGGATCTGACGGTCGAGCCGCTGCACGGCCTCCAGCGTGTGCGCAAACAGCAGCACGCCGGAGGTGAGGCGGTCGAGCCGGTGCACAGTGTGCAGTGGGGCCAGGCCGTGCTCCTTGCCCAGCACGAAGATCACCGTGTTGTGGCGGTAGCGTCCGCACGGATGCACCGGCATGGACGAGGGCTTGTCCACCACGACCAGCTCGTCCGTCTGGGCGAGGAGCGTGACGGGGCCCGCGGCCACGGGCGGCTCGTGCCTTGCAGGGGGTGGCGGAGTCGGGGGTCATGGAACGAAGGTCACGCGGCGTGGGAGGTTGGACGAGATCGCGTGAAGGTGAAGATGTCAGACAATGTGCGACAGGTGTAGGGAAAGTTGCCACGGCAGAGGGCCGAAGAGAACTATACACAGAACCTTTACAGGAACCTCCCCATGCAGGAACCTCCTCTTGCGCTGGATAAATACAGTTCATTATTATAATAATTATGCTGGTAAAGGAAAGAAGCACAGAGGTGTAGGGAAGAATGGTGCCACCACTACCCCATCCAATCACTGCCACTCCGCTGCCAAAGTCACACGTCTCAGCAAGGCCTTCTCTATTCAGTGAACGGCATTATTATCATTGTAATGATGACAATGCTGGCAATGGCTGTCCAGATAACACACACACCGCGGTATTACACCAGGGCGGCCGGTGGAATTCAAACTGTGAACCTCTGCAACGAGCGGCAAATGCGCTACGTAATAATAATTAAAAAATGACAACTTGTGACGCATCGCACAGTATTCACTCACTCTCGCAGAGAAGGAGGCACGAGGAACTACAGACATGCACGCGATGATCCGGCGCCAATAATTACTCAAGCTCTGCGGTTCCATACATATTAAGGTGTTCTCAGAAAATTAGTGATCACATGTCGGAGGAAACCGGAGCACCTGGAGAAACCCACTTGTGCGAGGGGGCCAACAATCCATTACCGCGGTTGGTTACGTACGGTGCGAAAGAAGTTCAACATCCACACAGGCGGAGTCCACATTTTTTGCCGTGACCACTGCCGTCTTCTGGCGAGCCGGGAGACGGCCCTTCCTCGACGGCCCACAGGGGAAAAGAGTTTCGCAACATTTGCGTGGGTGACCCACCAACCCTCGCTGCCTCCACAGTTCATGGATTTACAGGCGCGCGTCGCCACCACGGCCACACCGCGGGACGGCTCGGCTCCGGGGCGATTGGACCGAGGGGGACGACTCTGCCCCGGGGCGAGTCGTCTCCGCCGCCACCTCAGAATCAGAATCCTTATCGATCCTGGAGAAATCCGATGAACTATGGAGTTCTAGTCCACCCCCTCCCTCCTCCTCCCCCACACACACAGGTATCCATCCTCACCTGTGCACGGTGTGCCGGACGAGGTCGTTGTCGCGCAGCACCACGTCCAGCGAGGTGCGCTCCCCGTTCAGCGTGATCCTGCCGGCCGCGCACGCCGCCTCGTAGTAGCGAGGGCCCTGCGCGCGGAACTCCGACGCGAGCACCTCCCCGAGGGTGCGGCCCAGCCAGCGGCCCTTGCAGTACGAGGTGAAGTCGAAGCGGTAGGGCCGCACCCGGCGCAGCCCGGCCTCGACGTAGCACTCCGTCTCGGCGAAGTGCTCCGCGCCGAAGCTCACGCCGGCGTTGCGCTTCTTGGGGGGCGGCACGTGGCGCTCGCCGGCGCCGCGCTCCTGTCGGCTGCGCTTGTGGCGACGCGGTGGCCGCTTGCCCTCTCCTCCTCCTCCTCCATCTCTATCATCATCACCGCCGCCACCGTCACCACACTGCTGCTGCCCGGTCGCCGCACAGGCGCTTTGGCCGTGCTTGCGCTTCGTGGCGACACTCCGCGGCCCTGCTGAGCCCGTGGCGTGCGGAGGCGAGGGTGCCGCCGGGGTGAGGGTTGCGTCCGCGGCAGGGTCAGCGTCTCCGGCCTCGGCGTTCCCTCCCGCGAGTCTCGTCGCGTCGGCGGCGGAGTCGCCCATCGTCTCGGGGCTGTCTGGCGGCGCGCCGAGCTTAACGAGGCAAACGTCTGCAGCTCAACGAGCCAAGCTGTTGAGGCCCTCTAAGACAAGTACGTGATGGCAAACGAACATTCGAGTGATGTAATACATACACTCGACTGCAGTAAGCGGGACACCAAGACCCGATTGCTTTGACAGTTCCGTCGCCCGCTATCATTCGGTATGTAAGTAACAACTTGCATATCGTGATCTATAAAACGTAAACTTGTAAAGTATATTCGTATGGTTTAAAAGTTAGTAATGTTTTCTCAGCTCCGGCATACAACGGTAGCGCACGTGGGCTCTGGTAGCAGCGACCTTTGACCCCATAATATAAATCCCCCCTCCCCTAACCCCCCCTGCTCACCGCCCTCTAACCCCCCGCCCTCTCACTCCCCGCCCTTCCAACTCTCAGCCCCATAACTTACCCCGCCTCTTCCTCCGCAAGCCCCGCCCAATTTATCTCCTGACTCCTCCTTTTTTCTCTTTAGCTCGCCTCACGCTCGCACTCCTCTCTAGGCTGAACCCTGGGCCCCGCCTCCTATCCCGCAATCCCCGCCCATTTCCTTTTGGCCCCGCCTTCTATCCCACAATATTCGCCCGTTTTATTTTGGCTCCGCCCCCTATTCCACAATCCCCGCCAATTTCATTTTGGTTCCTTCCCTTATCTCCCAATCCCCCTGCTCATTTATTTTTTTTAACTCCGCCCCCTATTCCACAAGTCCCACCCATTGCCATTTGGTCCCGCCCCCGCAATGGCCGCTCGTTTTTGGCGCCAAATTCTCGCTCTAATGGCACTGACGAGAAGCAGAGACGCGACGGGATGCAGAGTTCACCTCAGAGGCGATTCTTGCGTTTAGTTTCCTACTCGCCACGAGTATTTGTGTTTTTCTCTTAAATTAGATGTTAAGTAGTTTTAAAAACTCGTATTGCCGTTTGTTATAATCGAGTGACGGGGGTGAGGTTTGTTATTGCAACTGAGGAGTAGCTTTGTGATTTAGTTTTAGGTGATTTAACGAGCATTATTGGTGCGTGTTTTGTTTTCTTAGATATCGTTCGTATTTGTAAAAAATCACTGAGCAGGAATGTTTTGCGAGAAGGCGATAGAGCTTATACGGGAGCTGCACCGCGCCACGGATGCACAGATCCCGCCGTTCAACGTGAGCGAGCGACGGCTTCATCCACAGCGTTTGAACATCATCCTTCTCATTCATCACCATGGACCATCATCTATCCACTGCTAGAGGAAGGCCCAACACACACACACCGTCAGCTTCATCCACAGCGTTTAAACATCATCCTTTTCATTCATCACCATGGACCATCATCTATCCACTGCTAGATGAATGCCAACACACCGTCAGCTTCATCCACAACGTTTGAACATCATCCTCATTCATCACCATGGACCATCATCTATCCACTGCTAGAGGAATGCCAACACACACCGTCAGCTTCATCCACAGGGTTTGAACATCATCGTTCTCATTCATCACCATGGACCATCATCTATCCACTGCTAGAGGAATGCCCAACACACACACACACCGTCAGCTTCATCCACAGCGTTTAAACATCATCGTTCTCATTCATCACCATGGAACATCATCTATCCACTGCTAGAGGAAGGCCCAACACACACACACCGTCAGCTTCATCCACAACGTTTGAACATCATCCTTTTCATTCATCACCATGGACCATCATCTATCCACTGCTAGAGGAATGCCCAACACACACACACACCGTCAGCTTCATCCACAGCGTTTAGACATCATTCTCATTCATCACCATGGACCATCATCTATCCACTGCTAGATGAATGCCAACACACACTGTCGTGAATAATCTCTCACGCCTCCATCCCCACCCGTGGACGTCTTGTTAGGAGCGGTCCCTCTGGCTGCTCTTCGTCTCGACCACTGCTCATAACAGTCAATAATGATGTGTCTCTCTTAACGCGTGTTATTTTGTTTTACATGAACCAACCTGCGGATGTTCTTTTACACGCTTTTATTTAACTCACTCTGTTGTTGTCGTATTCTCAAATCTTGTAACTCAATTTTAACCCACTTCCCAATGTGGTATCGACTGCAAACTTGGTATACTTATCTCTTACTGATGACAATACTATATTCTATCATTAAAAATAATATATATTTTTAAACCATCTTTTTTATATGTTATGTGTCGGCTTGGGTCTAATTGTCCACGCTCAACCAACGTTGGCTGTAAATCACCATGGTCCCCTTACGTTGTGGCAAGCTTCGGGGCCACTTTGTGGAGTCGTGGAGTTCTTCCATTACTAGTACGGTACATTTCATTAAAGCGTGTTTTTTTAAAAGTGTTTTTAAATATTACTTAAGTCATTCACGGGTGCTTTTTTCCGCCTCGACGTAATCCTAAGCGTGCGCCTCTCTGCACGCCTTCTTTACGAACTGCCCAGCTTGATGCCACTTGATTTGCCAATGCGTTATGGTTATGATCCCTGTAATGGAATGTAATTACACAGTAATGTACAATGATTTAACGCTACAGTATTCCGTGTACCGCCCCCCACCCCCCAACATAGATTATATCAGTCAACCGTAATGTTAACAAAAATATTTCACCCGATTCATCCCTTGAAGATGGAACATCTCGTTTGCAACAGTGTCCAGATTGTGACAATTGGCACGTACATAGCAAAAAGGTAATGAATTAAGGAATTAGGTTCAGAGTTTAGGGCATGCGTGTAAAGTTGTAAGTTAGGGTTGGAGATAGGATTAGTGACAGTAATATTTAAGACCGCTTTTTTACCTTATAAAGCATCATTATTAAAGTTTTATATTAAAATTCCTCACCACCCAGACCCACTCACCTGTCCTCCCCCCCCCCGTCCCCCTTGATGACCCAGGAGGATGGAGTCCGCCAGGTGCTGGAGGAGATGAAGGTTCTGTACGAGCAGAACCAGACAGATGTGTACGACCCACACACCTCAACCACAGCACCAACCACTCTTCTACGACTCTGCTTCTGGCTGGCCATCGAACAAAGACGGTCGCCGCATCGCTGCGCTTTCAGATGCGCTTCTGCGGCCGTCTGGAACGCTTCCGATATTAGGAATCCACTGGAGCTTTGCAATTTGAAATAAACTAGATTGACAAAATCATTTTAAAGTAACTGTTTGTGTTGAGCTTGCTGTCCTTCCCCGAGCACCTCCGTTTAGCAAGGTTGGCTACGTACGGTGCGAAAGAAGTTCAACGTACGTACATTCTGATTCTGTTACGACAGCAGGGGTGGAGAACCTATCCACGGGCCAAAATTCGGCCCGTGACTTCGTTTCAGGGTGGCATAGTGATGCCACTTGTGCCTCATAGCGAGAAGGACCTCGGTTCGATTCCTGACTCGGGTGCCTTTCTACCTGGATTTCTTATATTCTCTCTCCCCCCCCCCCTATTCTGCATGGGTTTCCTGTGGGTTCTCGAGTTTCTCCCATATATACAAACCTTGAATAGATTGGTGTTTGTTAAACATCTGGGCCACTAGTAGACACGTGATTAGTAGCCATACTGAGAGGTATAATAGACGTGGTTTTCCGGGTGCTGAACATTTTTTCCAGGTTGTAGATCTACCTGAAGTTCAGCCCTGTGCCTACCATTTTGAAACGGCTCGTGAATTGCATGTCACTGTAAGCTACTCATCCACACTAATCGGGTACTCGAGGGGAATATTTTGAACATAGCAACACTGTTTTCTAAGTTTAGCTTGCACGAGTAAAACTTATTTCACAGCATTACGACTATGCAAGTACTTGGTGTATGAGTGCTCTGTTTTTTCTTCTTCAAGAAATGAGGTTAAATCTGACGGGAAGAATGAACTCATCCCCACCATCAAGTTCCGCCACTGCTGCCTGCTGCGCAACAAGCGCTGCCTGCTCGCCTACGCGTGAGTTCCGTCAGCACCAACGGCGCTGACATTGAACGCGAGCACCACGGGTCATTTTAAGACATGTCTTTGTCTTTTTCCCACAATTTTACATCTACAGTAATTTTTCCTGCCACATTCTATTTGGAATATCTGACAACTGTCCTGAATACAGGGGGCTTAAAAAAAATGTTAAACACTTATGAGAATTTGCAACAATACCACGTGACATGTGCTGCTGCCTCCAGCCTCTTGAGATCACCTGGAGAAGATTCCAGGCACGCGTTGACAATGATGGCGAACAAGTGGAGACTGACTTTTTAAAGCTATTAACATACATTTGTTATGTTAGAGTGTATTTTCCATTAAAAACGATTGTCCCATATAAGTGTTGGAAGCACCCTGTATATGGCCCATTCCTTTAAATGTACACATTCACGAGTCCAATAATCCTTTTAAAAGATGTTTGTCTTTTAATACAATGACATCGACAGTCATTTCCTGCTACATTCTCTTTGGAAGATCTTACAGCTATCCTTAATGACCCATTCGTTTAAACATACATATATTCATGAGTCCGAAATTTTTTTAAGAATTGGGGAAGAGGGAAGGAAGGAATGGGGTGGAAAATGGCTCCGCTCCCCACGGGTTCTATGCCTTATTAAGCATAAGGTGACAGTCGAGAAATGTCTAATTGATAACTTCAATGTTGAAACATCGTAGCAGTTTAAAAAAGAAAACTTTGTGCCCCAACTTGTAATAAAATATACGTTTATTTTGTAAAAAATAAATGATTCCCTAAAATTGTATTCCACTTGTGCTATTGGCATCGTGTTGAGACAAATAATCCATTCTAATTTCTTGCAGAGCAGTGCACCCCTGCATTAGAGAATGGCCCACAGAAGCGGATATCACAGAGCCATGTCTGAGATCCATTTCTAGTGGCTTCTGTTCCAACATAGAAGAGGGCAGCACTGCCACTGAGAGTAATGTCTGTCACATGACAGTCAACTTGATATTTATAATTCTCAGGGCTGATGTGTTCTGTCGTTTCGTCCGCAGGTATGACCGTGTGCAGAGGATCCGCACGATGCGCTGGGAGTACGGCAGCATTCTGCCCCCCAGCGTGAGGTTCCATCTGTCCGTGGAGGAGGCAAGGCCAACAACCTCACCTGTTACACGAGTACCAATTGTAACACCAGTGATTAATGACGAATCCGATGACGACAATTAATTCAATCGCTTTAACACAACTTGCATGTTCTCCAACAACAGTTCGAGTGGTTCAACCACTACAAGAAGTCGTTGGCGTCGTACATGGGCTCTGTTGGCGGGGAGGAGGGACTGGATCTCACGCAGGACACCAAGCCTCCTAAGAGCCTCTACATCGAGGTGTGTGCCTCACATCCCCTACCCCACCCCATAAGTAATTTTAAAAAATCAAGGCCTCTACTCAATGTTAATCGCTTACGGAGTAGCCCTCACACCTTTGGCCTATCCACCGCCGCCAGGTGCGCTGCCTCAAGGATTACGGCGAGCTGGAAATTGACGACGGTAGCACCGTGCTACTGAAGAAGAACACACAGGTAACTGTTGCGCCAAACCCGGCCCTGGATGTCAGCAAATGCACGTGAGCGTATGTCGATGCGCAGTGATGTAGCGAAGGTGGCATGGGCCCACTTGTGTTCTATTACTGTCCCCACTCACTTCTCGTCTCCAACGATAAAAGTCGAGGCGTCTTGGTGTCACGTGAGAAGTAATGCATGCACACACCCACCAATCACAGCCACCCGCCTGCACAGCTTGACATTGCCGCCCCTTGCACCGTCACCCTAGATCAATTCGCATGTTCCCTACGCCTACAGCCGGCAATACCAGGGATACCCCAGCCATCGTTTATGCACCTCCTTGTAGCTCAGTAGTTATGTCATTGTTTCAGCAGCTGAAAGAGCTATGGAGTTTTTTTGCGAGGAATTGACTGTTTTTTTTCTCCCCCAGCACTTCCTTCCACGAGGGCGGTGTGAGCAGCTCATCCGGCAAGGCATTTTGGAGCACATCTTGTCCTGAGACTGCTGTCACTACCACCACCACCCACTCTCGGACTGACCTGGAATTCAGAATGCAGCGTCAGGGGTCCCAACAGGGCCCTACGACTGCCTGCCACGTCGCGTAAACTTGGGGCTTACTAAAATCAAACGGTGACCAACGGCAGATCTGCAAACGCATTGACAATTGTACCCTGCTTCTCAATGAGAGGAAAGGTACACACTCCGTAGCAGCAGGCCTAAGAGTCCTCCAGGCTGCTCTGCTCTGTTGCAGGATTAGTTTAGCTGGCTATGTGGATCCAGAAGTCGATTTATTTGCTCTGGTGTGTGAGCACGTGTGCCGGCTAAAGTGCAAAAACAGCCTTTTTTGTCGACCCACTACTAGATGAGAGCAATTAATCTCTACACTGCAGGCCATGATGCTCATTTGACGATACCACACTGACCATAACACTGTTATATGGTGGTCTTTCCATACAAGCACTATCCAGGCTTGAGCCTGCTTAGCTTGAGATCTGACTGATACCTGACAGGATTGCACCATGGTCATGCCAGTTAGTACTGAGATTGCCCTTTTAAAAAAACAGCCAAGAATAGCAAAACAGTGGCTTTATTGAGTGACCCGAAGGTCAAAGAACACATCAAGACGTTAGCAATATATACACCTCATTGTTTGAAACAAAGTTATAATTAAATGATAAAATAAAATCTGTAATTCCAACCTTCCCCAAATTGCATCAAGTGACTTCTTTAACGGTAGGAGGAAACTTTCTGCTCCTGCCTGTGACGAGGTTATAAAAATCAAGAAATCGTGACACTTCCCTGTCAAAAACACAGCCGCGCAAGCACCGCCCAAATCCTACAAGCCCACCAACAGTAATTGCACTTGATTACAGGAGCAGCGATTAACAAAACGATTTTCTTTCCCCAGACTAGCCGGCCACACTGGGCTGATTACTGAGACAGCATCAGATACACAGGTTATTTCTAGCCGATGTGGGTGGCTTAACAACCAGTGTAAGCTGGACCCAAACCTCATCCTGAGGCCTGACACTCGACTTCCACCACCTTCAACGTACTTCACTCTTATAGCTCTCCTACGTGTTTTTCCAGCCGATCCTCGTGTTGCTCGGCACCGAGTGCCGACGTTTCACTCTGCTTGCTGGCAGCATCTTCGGGAAGGTGAATTCGGCAATTGGAGTGAAACGACGGACAGTGTGCCGAACAACACGAAAACACGTCGAACTATAGACACCAGAAAAAAAACCTACGGAGCGTTCTCTTCAGGAGCTGCTCACTTGGGAACCTTCAAGTCTTCATCGACACAACTTCAGTCTATTTTGGACATCTCGAACTTGGTTGTCATAATTTCCTGTTGGGAAACAAGACAATGAAGCATTTAAATAATGTTATCGCTGCTTAACTGTAGTGATAATTAGGCATGTAACGACTGGCATCCCTCACGATTCTATCAATTGTTACAATTTAGTATTGTACTTTTAATCAAGAATCGATTCGTATATACAATGTGTTGAATCTAGCACTCATTGTGACTTGATGACATACATGCGTATTGATAAACATTGATTTTAACACGCATGATTCCTACACTTGAGCGTAGGAATTGATTTTAATCGCTGCATCGTTATATGCCCAAAAATAGTTTTTAATTTGCACCATGCTCCGAATTCTAGTTTGAGATGTCTGAATATAACTGACAAATTGGTTGTATATTTCAGGGTTTTACAATCTAGTCCTTATGACCCACCACAGTCCATCTTACCATGTTCACCAGTTTTCATTCAAATACATATGAAGTTCTTACATACTCCACATACCTCATCATTGCTGAACAGCCCCATGTGAAATCGACAGCACCGATTCAAATTAAGACATCTATGTATGTTGAACTATTTCGCACCGTGCGTAGCCACCCGTGTTAATCAGAGGTGCGGGGGAAGGACAAACTAAAAGCAGAGTTCTAAAGAAATTAGTTTTCAATCTGAATGATTTAAAAGAGCATAGCTCCAGTGGTTTCCTGATATCGGAAGGAATAGCATTCCAGACGGCCGCAGAAGCGCATCTGCAAGAGCGCGATATGGTAACCGTCTTTCATTGTTCGGCAAAAGCCTCTGCGAGGATGGAGTTTGCGTGATGGTCTATGCTGCTTGATCAGCACGGTATTGTGGTTATTTGTGGCAAGCACTGTGTAATGAGTGCACACACATCTTGCGTCTGTGTGCCCATGTGATGTCGATGTGCTTATTTAATCGGTGCTGTCTACGTCACGCAATCGTCAGGCACGTGCCGCTTGTAACTAAATATATTTGAATGGAGGTACATTCTAAACTTAGAAACTATGGTGGGTCGCAAGAACTGGAGTCTGAGGCACGGGGTAATGGCACTCCAACTGAAGTAATTATAAAAATACATGAATTGCCATTAACCCAGTATTCTTAGACTCAAGTTAGCGAATTATCAGGGAATGGTGCAATAAGATGGGCGAGAAAATGGATAAGCACACAAACCCAATGAAGACAAACAATGGTCCGTAAGCAGCAACTCGCATTACAATATACATGGGACTGACAGCTACACACACCACGTACTACAGCTCGGACAGTTGGATTATAATGTGGACCTCTACACAAGCAGAAATGAAAGGTTAAGCTGAGTTACGGCATGCAAACCATGCAGTTAGGAGGGTAAGGGGTGAGGGAGGGTTATCGGTGTGTGAACAGGTATACCGCTGGTGTTGAATCACACACGCAAACACGTGTTGAGCTGGGCCACATTGGCCGAGGTCGTTTGTAACGTCAATGTTGCCTTACGTGCCCTCAACATTCAAACGACCACGACCTCCCATTCGGCCGACGCCAGGATCGCTCCTTGTTATCGGCGTAAGTTATGGGCAAGGAGAGAACTATCATCAAGGCCCGACCCTGCACCTCACCTAGTTTTGCTTACTGGGTCGACTGCCCCTCGATCCGGCTGAAGGTACCGTGAGACAAAGACAAAGATCCCCAATGTAGCCTACACAGGCTGTTGGGGTAAGCACCGTCAGCAAACGCCTAAGAAGGGAACCACGGTACATGGGACACACACTCGTGCTGATCGACGTAAGCGAGATAAAACCATACGACAGCGACGTCCTTCAAGGTCGCCCCCCCCCCCCCCCCTTGTATGGCACGGACACCACGTGGTCACTCATTGCCCAACATCACTGGCGACGGGTACCGGCGGGTGGGGACGTATCGCTCGGCACCGTCTACGGTTTACACTCGCGGGCAAACACTTGGAGCCATCGCCACAGCTCCCCCCCCCCACCCCTCTCCTAGGGGATGCCTTGTAACAGCACTGCAACACAATATCGTGTTCTCATTCGGCACAATTCATTTGTGAGCTTGTTTTTTTTACTTCACCGCCTCATCTCGTACTTGAGTGACGATAGCCGACTTAACGCAGCGTTAACATTAGCGGGGACGTTGCGGCAGTGTAATGGTTGGCATATCCTGTCAGCTCGGTTTAAATTTTACCTTCCGGCATGGTAGTTTAAAACAACGGTTGCACGCGGTTCAAAATCCTCCATCCACCACGGCACACGTCCAACCGGCAGTATAAATGGATAAAACCACAACTGGTTGATCGGTAGCTTGCGTGTGGCGAGGAAAACCGCGCGTACTACCAACATATTCCAAAATGTCTGGCCAGTGTGGAAGAATAAGCCAAAATACCCTCAAGAGGGGCTCTACTGATGATAAAAATCGTAACTGAAGCATTATTACAACTCGACTCCACAACAAAGGACATTTTTCAAGAGTACATTTTCACCAACGCTAAGATAACTGAGAGACGGTGAGAACATGGCATTACCTCGTCCGAGTCGAGTAACGCAGGGAGCGCTCTGCGGGGAAAGACAGACAGCGAGACCAGCATCACGATCCAATCACGATGGCACAACCTCAATGACGGCTACTACGTCAAGTTTATACAGCGTCTACCTGTGACCACATCTCGCGGTTATTTACAATCATTAAAGAAAACACGACAACGGTAGTGGTGTATGCGGTCAATCAGGTGGCATGTGTTCACATAGGACGCCTGTGTTTAATCAACAGGGGGCGTCTTTGTCATATTTACATTTGGTCACCTAGGAAATCCTCGCTGATTCGTGATTCTTTTTCAGGAAGGTCCTGCTAAGTTGGTGATAATTGTTACGTAGATTCAAATTGAGAAATATTTCAAATTTGCCAAACTTGGAATACGATTGTCGGCACGCAATGAGCTGACTCTTGCGAATGACATCACATAATCTTTTAACGTCCACTGTGAAGCAGATGGCCCGAGGCCAATAATTACGGTTAACACGCGCCGCAGTATTAACAAGGACGGCCGCAGGGTTATAGCTGTGAACCTCTCCAACGAGCACTCTACTGATGGGCCGCGTCACTGCCTACTCGGTTCCATCAACTGTGAGATCCACCACGTGTTTTTATCAGGAGGTGTGCGTTCGGTGAGAGATGGGTCCTATCAAGACAGGGCGTGTTCTCAATCAAGAGGTGTGTGTTGTATGTGCTTGTAGCTCTTCTATGTGAATGCATGGAGTGCAGTGTGTTCCTACAGACAAAAAAATGCTCACGCAGTTGAATATACGTGCAGTATAGGTAAAGGTGCAGTCCTGCAATTTCTTGCTGACACTCCTGCTCCTAGAGGAAGGGTCTCCATCGGACTGAACTCCAGAGAGCCCCTCTAGGGTTCTAGATGGTGGGGGGGGGGGTGGTTTATGGCCTACTCTTTCACGCTGACCAGGTGTCCTGGGAGAGACGTGCATCCAACTGCAAATATGTAAACCCGCGCAACTTACAGGTCAGCTACAGAAGAGGGGATGTTCTCCTCCACCCAAGTCAGGTCTTCATCCTGCAGCGGAGCAGAGGATAGTGACAGGGTGAAGGGGCGGCAGACAGAGGGAAGGGTTGTGTCGCTCTTATTACCTTGCACGTAAAAAGAATAACATTTTAAAATATATTTTTGTTATCAAGTCAACGGAATTAAATACAAATTAAATAGCCACATGGCCAACACCACCAGTGGCAAATTGCACCACCACCACATCTCGATAATTTTTTTCAGTTGCTATATAAATTCACGAAGTACGGAGCCTTTTCCGACACAATTGTATAATTTTCTCTGCTCTGAGACAGACCGTCGCTTAATGAGATCGTAAGAATTCACAGCAAAATAACCCATGATGTACATCATTAGACCTCCTTTGCCAGTACCAAAATATAAGAATAGGGTTTTTCCCCTTTTTTCTGGCAACAAAACTGAAACCTTTTTCCATTAACCACAATACCTGGAGTCAAAATGCAAACAAAAAACATACTATGATAGTATATGCATTGTCCTTGAAACTGATTGGTCCACACCAAGGGACGGCTTTCTTTTGAGCCTCGACCCAATTGGTGCTCGACCAGATGACGCCAAAAGGCGTCATGGCGTGGACCAATCAGTTTCAAGGACAATGCGCATATCATAGTATGTTTTTTGTTTGCATTTTGACTGCAGGTATTGTGGTTAATGCAAACATGAATCCTTGTAAAAAGGTTTCAGTTTTGTTGCCAGAAAAAAGGGGAAAAACCCTATTCTTAACCCATGATGATTTGCATCCATGGGACAAATGAATTATCAACCCTTAATGTATTATTTTTCACACAGGTTCGCTTAGATAAAATTGCGTGGTGGGTTCATTTCTCGTCACACCTGGCTGGCACCGGACCTGGCTTGCCCATTCATCTCCGTCCGCGTGCCTCTCATTTTCGTACCTATGCAACGAATACCGGGAGAAACGCAATTTGGATTACAAGGCGTGAAAGTGCGACCGCACGAAGCAGAGCTGCATCCACATCGGGGAGGGGCCCACTGGGAAAACACGAGCAAATGTGTTATTTTTTTCTTTCCCCCAGCTTCATCGCAATCGTGCCATCGGCGTCGTGAGATTAGGAATCCACACGGTAACAACGGGCAGCACTCGTGCACCCGGCCTCCCACGGACAGTGATGTTCACGGCATGACAGTCGGACCGATTTTGTTTAATTCTCACCGGTGTAATTTAGCCAAAATTAAGTGCAGAACCATGCTTGATGTGATGGGGGGTGGGGAGAATTTTCTTCTGTACAGTCCTTGGTGACTGGGTTGAGACCATCAACTTGCTACTCCTGAGAACCTGGTTTAATCACTGGTGGCCACCCGGATTCGAACCTAGGATCTCAGCGGTGCCAGCCTCAACTGTGACCTCTGAGACACCCAGCCACCTCTGAAGAGGGAATAAAAAAAATCAGAGGGGGTGTGGGATATGGAGCTACAGGCCAGAGAGGGAGAGGGGACGATTGAATATGAAGGCCTAGATGAGGAGACTTCAGAGTAGAGGCTGTCGGTCACAGGCAGAGAAGAGGTGACCGTTAAATGTGGACGTGGACAGGGAGAGGTCTGCTATGGTCAGGGCAGGGAATTTCAGACAGGAGAGGCAGCCAATTACACAACGCATGACCCTTTACACAACACAACTTTGTGACACCAGAACATAAATGGTCAACCAAAATTGTCTTCCACTTTGTGGGCTTTTCCACTGAAGCAATGAATGAATAAATGGCTGAATGAATGATCATTCGCAAGGTCACGGGCACACTGCTCAACGTACCGTATGCATCTCCCGTCATCACGTTCTGATCTAAGCTGTCCTCATCGTCGTCGTCGATGAGGGGGGAGTATGCGTACCTGCGAGTACACAAGACAGATCGCACGGGTAGCCTACACGAACTGTTGGGGCATCATCGCACACGGAACAGTGCACATTACCGCCACACGTGGCACACACAGCACTCGCGTAGATCAAATAGCACATACACGGCACGGGATCCCGGAGGAGGACAAAAGAGAAAGGTAGAATAGGAAGTGGACGAGGAGGTGTTCACCTCTGGTTGTTGGCAGACGGCCTCCAGAGGAACATGATGACGAGGAGGATAACGGAGAAGAGGAGGCTCCAGAAGGATGTCTCCACCCACAGCTCGCGCCAGTCCTGGCAATCGAGCCAGCAGAATCACGCGGTCGGTTACGGCACGCGGTGTCACCTCCACTGCCCAGCGCGATTTACCGCAGGGGGTTCGAACCGCGTGGGGTTTCGCGGTTGTGCCGCCCGGCCCTTCCGACGCGTTGTCGGGCTGTGCCGCGCGTCGCACAACCGACACGACGCTCCTCGTGCTTTCGGGTTTCGTGAAGAAGCTCCCGGGCACGTGGAGCGAAACATCGGACGTCGCCCCGGAACAACCCGAAAACACATCAGAGAGCTGCACAGCGCAAACCGCGCAGACGCACGCAGCTTGAGTATCGGTGTTTGCCATGCGCTCATCGAGAACATTCAAATTGCAGTGCGCAACCCCAATTGTCGCGCTCGCCCGCCTCGGGTGAGGGGTTGTTTTGTTTAAACCGCTCGACTCACGGAGAGGCAGTCGACCATGCGGAACTTCCTTGTCGACCAGACGATGAACACAACCGACGCTGAGAAACAAAGGACGACCAGTTAATGGTGACGCCAATCAAACACAAACGAACACGGGCATTTTAAACTTTCCTCCTTCCCCCACCCCGCCCAGATTTACGAGCGGCGCAGGCCGAAGAGGTAAGAGGGGCTCACCGATGACGGAGAAGATGAGCGTGTTCGTGAAGTGGCGGTAGAGCGACAGCTTCACGGGGTTGCGCCTGAGCCTCAGCGTCCGCATCGTCTGTGCCAGACTCACGAAGATGTGCGACGCTAAGGACCAACGCGGCGGTGGCGCTGGCAGAACGACGGCGGCGTTCAAAGTCGCTTTCCACGCTTGCGGTACACGCGTCGAAATTCTACGCGTCAGCATCGACGATTAAAGAGAGCCTCCTTTACGTCTGGCAATTCTCCAGCACTGGTTCAAGCGAGACTGACTCTGCTGCTGATGAGACAAAGTGTGTCAAACAATTCCAGAGTTTGCTTGTCTTGACTGAATGCAGATGAAATTATGCACTACCACACAAAATACACGCATTGTTAAATACGCTTTACGATCAATTTGCCAAAATTGCAGCTATGAGTGAGGATTAAAAGAAAAATCCCTAAAGTCATCCAACGAACATTACTCATTGTCGTAGGGTGTGCGGAAAAGTGCTGCCCCTTCATGCGGTTAAGAGGTCACTTGTAACTTAAACTTGTAACTTAAACTTGCGATTCCAGCTAGCGGCTCTATAATATCCACTTCCATGGACTAGTTCTTGGACTAGTTCGTGGACTAGTTCGTGGACTAGTTCGTGGACTAGTTCGTGGACTAGTTCATGGACTAGTTCGTGAACACGGGGCGATGCAACACTCTGCAAGATCTCCCAATGGATTGTTATTTTTGTGCAAAAGCGCGAATGAGCGTCAAGGATATCCACCATACGATGCACGTATCGATCATCGCCAGCACTATCGCCGCTGTCAGCACTGTCGAGTTCCTGGGGTCCTGTGTGGGAACACGACAAGGGGGGTGGGGGGGGCAGTTATGGGGGGAAGGTGGAGTGGCGAGGAACACAGGGAGGGGGTGAGGAGGCTGAGGGGGGGGGGGTGGAGAGCTCAGGGAATGGCGGTGGTGGTGGTAATGGTGGCGGTGGACGTAGTGACGATGGTGATGGTAACCACAATCGCGGTTACGATGATTGTGGTGGCAACGGTGGTGGTGGCACCCGTGGTGGCGGTGACGAAATCAGTCGTGGTTGCGCGCACCTCGCTGGCGCGCAGCATCGCCTCCACGCAACAGAAGACGAGGTAGAGCATGCCCACGCCGACCACGCGGTGCAACATGGCGCCCAGGCGCGGCCTACGAGTACCACAGGAAGATTAGCAGGGGGACTGTACAACAAACATCAACAACGAAGCACACGTATGCAAAAACAAGCAGAACTAACGGAGGGAGGGAGGGAGGGAGGGAGGGAGGGAGGGAGGGAGGGAGGGAGGGAGGGAGGGAGGGAGGGAGGGAGGGAGGGAGGGAGGGAGGGAGGGAGGGAGGGAGGGAGGGAGGGAGGGAGGGAGGGAGGGAGGGAGGGAGGGAATAAAGGGACTGAATGGAACAGGAGATGGAGTACGAGGACAAGGAGAGGGACAGTTGCAGGACGTGGGAGTAACAGGAAGAGGGGGACGAGGAAGAGGTGGTGGTGGTGGTGGTGGCGCGGCGCTCCCTACTTGACGATGCCGTAGCCCAGGCTGACGATGATCACGAGCATCCGCGCCAGCGTGCGCTTCAGCACCGAAACCAACTCGGCCACCATCACCGCACCCGGCACTGCCGCACACACCACCACCACCACCATCAGCCACGTTCTATCCACTGCTGGCCATAATTTACAGCCCAGTGGGAAATGCTGAGCGCTCGCGTGTGGAACACTCCCACGTCTCCATTGCAGAGGAGGCATTGTCTGAAGGTCCCCTGCCTTGGTTTATAACGAGCGAAGCACCGTGTATACTTTAAAACAATAATTGCCATCCTTTGCCCTATCCACTGCTGGATTAAGGCATTCCAAGGCCATCATTATGTCACTGCTCGTAACGCAACTATCCATCCTCGCTTCTGCGCACATGCTGATCTCATCACTCCATCTCTGCAGAGGACGTTCTATCTCTCTCTCTCTGCTGCTGCTGATGATGAAGATGTTCCTGCTGCTGATAACGATTACGGTGGTGATGATGATGCTGCCGATGATAATACTGACAATGATGCTGCTGGTGATTGGTGGTCGTGGTGATAGTAAAGCTGCTCCTACTGATAGTGATGTCACCATTGGTGCTGCTTTTGATAATGATCATCATGATGATCATCACCATCAACACCATGACCACCATGATCACGATCAATAATTACGGTGACACCACCACTATCACCCTAGACAGTGACGATCATCGCTACGTCGATTGTAAGCCCATTCCCGCCCCCATCACCAAAGACAAAGATCGCCCATGTAGCCTTAACAGACTGTTGAGGTAAGTGCTGTTAGAGATGACGACCGGCAAGTTACACGAGGGAGTGGGTGGCTAGCACACATACCCGGCCACCTTTGTCCCCCAGGGGCAATATTTACACACCGGACCAGCTACTCATTTGATTTTGAGTCGCCCTAGAGGAGGCCCAGGACCGGTTCAGATAATCGTCACTGGCGTTGGCCTGCGAGCGGGAATCAAACTCGGGTCCTGGGGTTCGTAGCGCAGCGCGCTAACCGCTACATTACTGCCCCCCCCCATCACCCCCGCCCCTCACCCGAGGTGCCGTAGGTGCCGATGTTCTGGAACTCCCCGACAAACATGGCCTTCTCGAGCATCCCCAGGAAGATGACACCGCCCACCCACAGCTGGATCCTCAGCAGCTCCTTCCAGTAGCAGGCGGAGCAGACGAGCCAGAGCGCAGCGTACAGCGTGTACACCACGCACATGGCCATGTAGAACTACACCGGGCGGGTGAAAGGGAGAGCGGCGGTGGTGGTGTTGAGTGGTGAGTGGCCGGGTGGAGGCGCCACGGTGGAGAGATGCTAACTCCGTCACTTGGTATGCAGGAGGTCGTGGGTTCGATGCCGACCCTGACGCCTGTATATTTGGAGTTCGCGTGTTCTCCCCTTGGTCACGTGGATTTTTTTTTCCGGTTCCCCCGGTTTTTCCCTCCACATTTACAAACATGTGCAAAAGTGTATTTGGCTGCTATAACATTCCATTTGATAATACACTTCGTTGAGCTATGATTTGTGGCTAGATCGCTTCTGAAAAAGGGCTGTATAGCTCAGTGGGCCTTACCTGGTTAAATAAAAAATAGTTTAATAGTAAAAAAAAAATGTATTCATCACGTCTTGGTGTTAGCGTATGGGTGGTGATGAGTGTATTGCAAGTGAGCGTGCCGGTGGTGAGTGTATCGTTGGAAAGTGAGTTGACCGGAGGCAAGTATCACTTACAATCTTGAGTGGGTACTCTGTGGCTGAGATGTACCCATGTGGTCCGTTCATGCCCACCTCCACTGCACACACAACAAAGGCAAGAATCACCGCACCACCCCCACTACCCATCACCACCACACTGCAGGTCACAACAACCTCCCCCAACCCACCCAGCCACCAACCCACCGGCGCACCAATCCACCAACGCTCAAAGTGCGGTATATAAGCAGTAAAAAAATATAAATCATTAAAATATAACACTGACATAGCATAAAAAAACTAATCAGAATACAATTGAAGCAAAGTTACAACCAAAATAGTAACATCGGGAACTGATTATTATCAGTGGAACCCAGGGAAGCTACTGCTATAAAAACTGGTTAAAAACACAAAAAGTCACAATCTCAAAGAGTGCGAGAAGAATTTTACGGTTGACTCGTACCAGACTCACTAGCAAACTCTGACACCATAAACGCCGTCTGCCTTTCTGCACCCAGCGTACAGTATGCGCGCGGATTCGAGATTGTCACGCGAGTTGAAGGCGCAACCCAGAATGTTCACATTACGTGAGATACAGACGCAACCGGGACTGTTCACACCAGTGGGTGGGTGGGAGGGTGGGAGGCAGGACGCGTCGTGGATTAGAAGGGACGATGATGGGCTGGGGGTCGAGGCTCACGGTGGTGCTGGCAGCCAAGGGAGGCGACATGCCCGAGAGAACGTCAAACACGGAGACGGAGAGATGGTGACACTAGCTCGTGTGCAGGAGCTACGTGTGAGAGATGGCCACGTCTTGGGGAGGCCTTCATCCACACCATCATCATTACTTGATTATGATGATGTGGTTGTTGTATAATGATGTTGCCCTCACTGAGAGAAAGTTAAACGAACCATCAAATGTCCAGTCTTTGCTTTGCTTGTCGCCGTTGTGGTCATCCGGGCTGATGCTGACAATCAAGAGGTACGGACTCTCCTTCCACGTCCTCGCCACCACGTTTGTCTACACGGCACACACACACATACACACATGTATACAAAGACAAAGATCCCCCGTATAGCCTGAACAGACTGTTGGGGCAAGTGCTGTAAGCGAGCAATTATGAAGCCCGGCACACGAGGGGGTGGGTGGCCAGCACCACGCCCGCCCGCCATTGTCTCCCCAGTGGTGATGATTTCACACGCCGCACCAGGTATTCATTTGAGGCCGAGTCGACCTAGGAGAGGCCCAGGACCGGTTCAGGTAATCGTCACTGGTGTTGGCCGTGAGCAGGAATCGAACTCGAGTCGCCGGATTCATAGCACAGTGCGCTAACCACTACAATACCGCTCCCCACACACACACACACGTACACACGCACATACACACACTAGTGTCAGTATTTACACACAAACGAGTGCATCAGGTACTCATTTGAAGACTTGAGTTGACCTCGGGGGGGGAGGCCCAGGCCTGGTGAAGATATTTTGTCTCTGGTGTTGGGGGGGCGTGAGCGGGAATCACAACACGCACATGTTTCAAGCAAATCAGATGCAATTTTCCACCGAGAGCTCGGAGGCACGGCAATTGTTTGATAACGCACCCATTTCGAATGGCTTGTGGCATTGTTGACGGTTATTGGAAATACATGAATTGGAAGCACGAAGGTGATGGTACTGACAAGTTAAGTATCCAGTCTTGAGATCATGGATTAAAGGAGAGTCGACAAAAAACAATGGGGAAAAAATCCGAAAAGTGCACAAAGCAGCGTGGAGAGACGGATCCTTGGAATCGTGCCAAGTCAGAAAGAGGATCGCGTGGCTGAGGGAATGACCACAAAAGACGTCACACTGACGCTTGAGAAACGTAAGTAAACTAAACTTTGTATTTTACCATGTAAGGCCCACTGAGCTATATAGCTCTTTTTTCAGAAGCGACCTGGCCACGAATGATAACTCAAGGAAGTGTTCTAGATTTGAAGTTTTCGTGACTGCAAGGATCCATACTCTTTGGTTCTTTCGGTAAAGTCACGTAGGTAGAAAATAAAATAATTAAATAAAATTAGACAAAAATTAATGATTTAGTTGTTTCCATTTTTGGTTTGTTTTATTTATTTACATTTTTCCTAAGTGACTTTACCGAAAGAACCAAAAAGTCAAGGAAATTTTGATTTAAAGCTTTCGTGACTGCAGGGATTCATATTCTTGGTTCTTTCGGTAAAGTCACGTAGAAGGGAAACAATATTTTTATTATTTTATTGTTTCCCTTCTACGCGACTTTACCGAAAGAACCAAGAATAATAGTCAAGGAAGTGTTGTCTGTCTCCCGCACCTCCAATTAGCATGGTTGGCTACTTACGAAGCAAAAGAGGTTCAACATACGTACTATTAAAACTACAAGCGATTTTTTACAAGGTAAGGCCCACTCAGCTGTATAGCTCTTTTTCAGACGTGACCTGGCCACAAATGACAGCTCAACGAAGTGGATTATCACGTGGAATTTTATAGCAGCCCAAATCCTCTAAACGCGTGATGTTGATTCTAAATGCGGAGGGAAAAACCAGAAGACCACGGAGGGAACACGCAAACTCCAAATATACAGCCGTCAGGGTCGGGGTCGAACCCACGACCTCCTGCATACGAGGCGAGGCTTGGACCGGACACTCCGCGGCACGAGGTGATGGCCGACGGACGAGACTATTGCGAGCAGATGACCAAACATGATGGAGCGGGGGTAGGGGGGGGCGCCACTCCTACCTTTGGGACCATGTCTCGTTTATCGCCGACCTGGGCTGTGTCAGGGGCAGCGGCCTCCGCTCCTGGCTCGGTCTGGAAGAGAGAAACAACAACAACCGCAATTCGTCACTAAGTGGCGTTGACGTCACCACGGTGCTTGTGCAAAGCTATGTGCACTTTAAGGCCACGTGAAGTGTCGAACGCCCGCTGGCAGGTCACAGGACAGACCCAGCAGGTGCCATGGGTTGAGGAATTATGCAACGAGGTGACGCATCCCTCCCAGCTGGCGACGATGTCCACCGAGGGGACCGACGAGGCAGAGCAAAGGAACAGAATGCGTCGGAGAGAGAACAGGACGCCGTCGGGAGGCCTTCATCCAGCATCGGAGAGACAACGGCTGATGACGATAATATATCGTCTGGATGCCACCATGTCCGTACGTCAAATGCACACACGGAGGCGGTGGATGTACCTTCGGAGCCAGGTCTTTCGTATCGCCGACCTTGGCTGGGTCAGGGGCGGCGGCCTCCACGGCAGGCTTTGGCTGGGAGAGAGGATGGACAAGGGGGTTACGGGTCCCTCCGAGCTGACGGAAAGATATCACCGCCGCGCCAAACGGAACGTTTCCGAGTGGTGCATTGTTGACGAGCGCTGGATTAGCGGGGAAATCTCGGCCGGTGGAAAGAGAAGGTGAGCCGAGACTCACCTGCGCATCTTCTCTCTTGCGACGATCGCTGGGCGATTTCTCCTTTTCTTCCTCCTGTTGATGATATCAAGACCAGCGCAGAGATCACAACCAGTGGCGGCTCGTGACATCTCCACTAGGTGGGGCTGTTGTGACCTCTGAAAATATGGTGTTATAATTAAGAAGACAACCTCGTCATGTTATTGGCCTTCCCGTGAAAGCGATATAACTGTGTTACCTACCAACGGTGAGGCATTTATAACCAATACGATGCTAGACAAACAAATCACTCAGATGCTGTCCCCATGACCCTCAAGTCCACGCTACACAAACCCTTTGACACTGCCAAAAGCCTAAACAACAATTAAAGATCAGCTGACACGACTCAAAAAATTAGCCAAGGCAACCAAGACACCGCATACCGGACAATAACAGCCACACAACCGTCGTACATCCACCTACACAAAAAGCTTTGATCTATATTCACTGGCGACATTAATACCACGTGCACAGGCCCTGCTATTTACTTCACTGTTCATGAGAAGTATGTTTCATTGTGTGGTCACTGTCCGTCTCACTGTTATCTGTGGTAACTGTAACATCACTTTACACTGACTACATTGTCGAATGGAAAGCTAGGCCTACACTGACATTAGCCTACACACGATTAAGTGAAATATAACAAATATTTCTGGTTTGAATAAAGGGGGAAATCTCTCACTCGGACGCCTTCACAGCCCACCCGAGACCTCCCCAAGGCACAACTAAGACTTTGGTGTCGCAGCGGTTTCTAATATGGACAACTTAAAATGTTATCTTCATTAGACAATTCACGTTGAAAGAATCGTTATATTTAAATTTTTGAAACACAACAAGACTATTTAAAAAAAGTATTTTTTATTAGAAAAAATATTTCTCATCTCCAGCTGCTTGGAGGGGCGGCTCCCGAACGCCCCCTAGACAAACCGCGACTGATCACAACACAGCACAGAGATCACAACACTCACAACACAGCACAAAGATCACAACACTAAAACACAGCACAGAGATCACAACACTCACAACACAGCACAAAGATCACAACACTCACAACACAGCACAGAGATCACAACACTCATAACACAGCACAGGGATCACAACACTCACAACATAGCACAAAGATCACAACACTCACAACACAGCAGAGAGATCGCAACACTCACAACACAGTACAAAGATCACAACACTCAAACACAGCACAGAGATCACAACACTCACAACACAGCACAGAGATCACAACACTCATAACACAGCATAGAGTTCACAACACTCACAACACAGATCGCAACACTCACAACATAGCACAGAGATCACAACACAGCACAGAGATCACAACACTCACAACACAGCACAGAGATCACAACACTCACAACACAGCACAGAGATCACAACACTCACAACACAGCACAGAGATCACAACACAGCACAGAGATCACAACACTCACAACACAGCACAGAGATCACAACACTCACAACACAGCACAGAGATCACAACACTCACAATACAGCACAGAGATCACAACACTCACAACACAACACAAATATTACAACACTCATAACACAGCGCAGTGATCACAACACTCACAACACAGCACAGAGATCACAACACTCACAACACAGCACAGAGATCACAACACTCACAACACAGCACAGAGATCACAACACTCACAATACAGCACAGAGATCACAACACTCACAACACAACACAGAGATCACAACACTCATAACACAGCGCAGTGATCACAACACTCACAACACAGCACAGAGATCACAACACTCACAACACAGCACAGAGATCACAACACTCACAACACAGCACATAGATCACAACACAGCACAGAGATCACAACACTCACAACACAGCACAGAGATCACAACACTCACAACACAGCACAGAGATCACAACACTCACAACACAGCACAGAGATCACAACACTCACAACACAGCACAGAGATCACAACACTCACAACACAGCACAAAGATCACAACACTCACAACACAGCACAGAGATCACAACACTCACAACACAGCACAGAGATCACAACACTCACAACACTGCACAAAGATCACAACACTCACAACACAGCACAGGGATCACAACACTCACAACACAGCACATAGATCACAACACAGCACAGAGATCACAACACTCACAACACAGCACAGAGATCACAACACTCACAACACAGCACAGAGATCACAACACTCACAACACAGCACAGAGATCACAACACTCACAACACAGCACAGAGATCACAACACTCACAACACAGCACAAAGATCACAACACTCACAACACAGCACAGAGATCACAACACTCACAACACAGCACAGAGATCACAACACTCACAACACAGCACAAAGATCACAACACTCACAACACAGCACATAGATCACAACACAGCACAGAGATCACAACACTCACAACACAGCACAGAGATCACAACACTCACAACACAGCACAGAGATCACAACACTCACAACACAGCACAGGGATCACAACACTCACAACATAGCAGAGAGATCACAATACTCACAACACAGCACAGTCATCACAACACTCACAACACAGCACATAGATCACAACACAGCACAGAGATCACAACACAGCACAGAGATCACAACACTCACAACACAGCACAGAGATCACAACACTCACAACACAGCACAGAGATCACAACACTCACAACACAGCACAGAGATCACAACACTCACAACACAGCACAGAGATCACAACACTCACAACACAGCACAGAGATCACAACACTCACAACACAGCATAGAGTTCACAACACTCACAACACAGATCGCAACACTCACAACATAGCACAGAGATCACAACACAGCACAGAGATCACAACACTCACAACACAGCACAGAGATCACAACACTCACAACACAGCACAGAGATCACAACACTCACAACACAGCACAGAGATCACAACACTTACAACACAGCACAGAGATCACAACACTCACAACACAGCACAGAGATCACAACACTCACAACACAGCACAGAGATCACAACACTCACAATACAGCACAGAGATCACAACACTCACAACACAACACAAATATTACAACACTCATAACACAGCGCAGTGATCACAACACTCACAACACAGCACAGAGATCACAACACTCACAACACAGCACAGAGATCACAACACTCACAACACAGCACAGAGATCACAACACTCACAATACAGCACAGAGATCACAACACTCACAACACAACACAGAGATCACAACACTCATAACACAGCGCAGTGATCACAACACTCACAACACAGCACAGAGATCACAACACTCACAACACAGCACAGAGATCACAACACTCACAACACAGCACATAGATCACAACACAGCACAGAGATCACAACACTCACAACACAGCACATAGATCACAACACAGCACAGAGATCACAACACTCACAACACAGCACAGAGATCACAACACTCACAACACAGCACAGAGATCACAACACTCACAACACAGCACAGAGATCACAACACTCACAACACAGCACAGAGATCACAACACTCACAACACTGCACAAAGATCACAACACTCACAACACAGCACAGGGATCACAACACTCACAACACAGCACATAGATCACAACACAGCACAGAGATCACAACACTCACAACACAGCACAGAGATCACAACACTCACAACACAGCACAGAGATCACAACACTCACAACACAGCACAGAGATCACAACACTCACAACACAGCACAGAGATCACAACACTCACAACACAGCACAAAGATCACAACACTCACAACACAGCACAGAGATCACAACACTCACAACACAGCACAGAGATCACAACACTCACAACACAGCACAAAGATCACAACACTCACAACACAGCACATAGATCACAACACAGCACAGAGATCACAACACTCACAACACAGCACAGAGATCACAACACTCACAACACAGCACAGAGATCACAACACTCACAACACAGCACAGGGATCACAACACTCACAACATAGCACAGAGATCACAATACTCACAACACAGCACAGTCATCACAACACTCACAACACAGCACAGAGATCACAACACTCAAACACAGCACAGAGATCACAACACTCACAACACAGCACAGAGATCACAACACTCACAACACAGCACATAGATCACAACACAGAGATCACAACACAGCACAGAGATCACAACACTCACAACACAGCACAGAGATCACAACACTCACAACACAGCACAGAGATCACAACACTCACAACACAGCACAGAGATCACAACACTCACAACACAGCACAGAGATCACAACACTCACAACACAGCACAGAGATCACAACACTCACAACACAGCACAGAGATCACAACACTCACAACACAGCGCAGAGATCACAAAACTCACAACACAGCACAGAGATCACAACACTCACAACACAGCACAGAGATCACAACACTCACAACACAGCACAGAGATCACAACACTCACAACACAGCAGAGAGATCACAACACTCACAACACAGCACAGAGATCACAACACTCACAACACAGCACAAAGATCACAACACACACAACACAGCACAGAGATCACAACACTCACAACACAGCACAGGGATCACAACACTCACAACACAGCACATAGATCACAACACAGCACAGAGATCACAACACTCACAACACAGCACAGAGATCACAACACTCAGAACACAGCACAGAGATCACAACACTCACAACACAGCACAGGGATCACAACACTCACAACATAGCACAGAGATCACAACACTCACAACACAGCACAGAGATCACAACACTCAAACACAGCACAGAGATCAAAACACTCACAACACAGCACAGGGATCACAACACTCACAACACAGCACAGGGATCACAACACTCACAACACAGCACAGAGATCACAACACTCACAACACAGCACAGATATCACAACACTCAAACACAGCACGGAGATCACAACACTCACAGGGATCACAACACTCACAGAGATCACAACACTCACAGAGATCACAACACTCACAGAGATCACAACACTCACAGAGATCACAACACTCGCAACACAGCACAGGGGTCACAACACTGACAGTCCATTGCGTGAACGTAGCCCACGCTGTCAATGAAGCTGTCGTACTCACTTTATGTTTGTTTGCCAGCTTCACGGGTAACGTTTTCACCTTCACGACAGAAAGAAAATCACACGCACAGACACGAGCGACAGAACCAGAGTCACTCGCCAACAACTCTGAACGGCAGCAACTGTGTAACATTTAGTTCTTCAGAATACAACGCTGAAATATCACCACGTTTACTCTACTGGGAGATTACGCGCAGCAACGACGTTCCCTCCGCTGAAAATTTGGCAGGAACCTCCCGATAAAGTCCTGAGACTCAGTGAGTCTTTCCCAGGTAACCGAGCAAAATAATACTTAAAACAACGCTACACAGTGTGCTGCACACGCCCTAACCCTAGCCTGTATCACCATCCTGCCGAATCATTGGCAGCTGGGAGGTCACGATGATTGTTTCACTTTCCACGCCGGGAGATCAAATTGGCGACCTCTGGAGTGGCATGGATGCCATTAAACTAGCGTGCCATTAAGAAAGTGGGTGGATAGGTTCAAACTAAAGGTCACGACTAATCTTCAGTTCTAACCTCCCAACTCCCCCCCACCTTCCAACTTTCAACGTCCTATCCATTACCACGCTAGGTTAGCGTAACATTAAAGTGGTAACATCAATTTCATAGTTTTGTTTCTCTAGACCAGGTGTCGGCAACCTGCGGCTCTGGAGTCGCACGCGGCTCTTTAAGGACTCCTTCGTGGCAGTTATTTATTAAGGACCGCCGTCTCGTGTTCACATGCATTGAGCCTCATGAAATATTGAGTTTGTTTTTACCGAATTCGAAAAAAAATGTCTCTTATTGTTATTTTGGTTGCCGACACCCTGCTGTAAGCATTGCAATCTGTTGCTTGGATTTCGTCTAAAATCGGCAAGGCTTTACGCTGACGATGGTTGGCAAATCAAACGATCATGCGAGCGTGCTCGTGTCAAACTCACGGGCGCCGCTGGCACGTGGAAGTTGTTGCAGGTGATGGTGGCGCTGCCCTTCACGTAGGAAGCCTGGCTGTCTGGGAAGACCTCCTTGTCCTCGGCGACCATGTACATCTCACCGCTGATGTCCTGTGTGACGCAAACGGCGTGGGCGAGTGCGGGGAGTGTGAACGGAGGTACAAGAAAACTGACGTCACTGCCTGCTACCCTCGAGCAGAATCACTCACAGCAACAATGGCACGGGCAGCAGCAGCATCCGCCATTCACCACTAAGTGAATCGCGGATGTTGCTGTGTGTGCCAGGCTAGGTGCACTTTCAGAACATCAAGTGTGGAAGCCTCGTTGCCTGGCAACCAGCCTTCCACACGGAACAGACCCAGGTGCTATGGGTTGACGGAATGAGATGAGTGGCAGATACAATGACACGTGAAGACATACACATACGCGCAGGTACACGTATACACATATAAGTCATATTATCAAGATCCCCCCCTATAGCCTTTAACAAACTGTTAGCGAGCACCTAAGAAGGCCGGAATGCCACAGGAAGGAGTGGTGTTGCCAGCACCACACCTGGCAACCTTTGTCTACCCTGTTGCCAATGTTTACACACTGCAACAGTTACTCCATTAAGGCGGACTTACTCTAGGAGAGGTCCTGGACTGCTTCCAAAATGTTGCCACAATGTTAACCATGGCCGGGAATCGAACTATTTATAGCGCAGTGCACTACCCCACTGCTCCCTACTGACACACACAGGCGCATGCACACCGATCCTCGCTGACCCAGCGACATAATTCCGGAAAGTGTCAAGGGGGAGCGCCTATTATGATTGTGACGATGACTACGACGATGGCTACAGTGATGATGATGAACGATGATGAAACTGTTGGAGAGAAATCAAACGGGGCTGGCGGTGCGGTCGCGCGCTTGCCTTTAAGTTGGCGAACTCGTTGTAGCAGCGAGAGGAGCGCAAGATCCACTGCACCGTGAAAGTCCCACTCATCTCAGGGCAAGTGGCCTTCAGAACTGCGCAAAGCAACCACACCACAACAACCACAACAATCACGGGCAGCTTCCCCCGCGTGCTTTCGGGTTGCACCGCGCGTTGTTCGGCACGGCGTCTCAAGTTTCGCTCCACGCACCGGGAGCAGCTACACATTCTCTCTCGATTGTGGAGCGTCGCCGGCTGCTACTGCCGGTGTCTGATGCAGGCCGGCCGATGGTGATTATATGCCACGTCGATGCGGCACGAGTGGACTGGGGCAGGTGGCGTGTGACTAATAGCCGCAGGCCTTAGTGAGATATGACGGAGGCGGTGTGCTGGGCGTGGAAACCAAGTCCCAGTTGAGATTAAGGCCTGCTCGTGTCTAACGATCGTTGGTGTGTGTTATAATAATCTATAATACTCAATAATAATAATTAACAGCCCTTTGACAATGCACTGCTGGATGAAGGCTTCCCCGTGCCTTGTCGGTCACAGGGGTTGTTTGATCATACTTCTAAACTAAATTAAACAATCTTTTATTTTACAGGTAAGGCCCAAAGAGCTGTATAGCTCTTTTTCAGAAGCGACCTGGCCACAAATGACAGCCCCACAAAGTGGTTTATTTCATTGAAATGTATAGCAGCCAAACACTATATATGCATGTTTCTACATGTGGAGGGAAACACCCGGAGGACCTGGAGAAAAATCCACGTGACCACGGGGAGAACATACAAACTCCAAATATACAGGCGTCAGGGTCGGGATCGAAACCACGACCTCCTGCATACCAGATGAGGTAGTAAACATCTCGCCACCATGGCGCCCACTTCCCCAGGCTGATTAGTGCGGGTTGGCAACGGGAGGTGCCTTGGGACCCCGCATTTCATCCCGATTGTGCCATCTGTCGGTGTCATTGCACGAGGCGCAAAATCCGTTCGGATCTTTCACGCAAGGGGATACACTACGCGGGAGATGGCAGCAACTTTCCCTCCCGCTCAGCCACATGAGAGTAAATGTTTGTTCAGCCAAAGCGCTACTTAATTCTCAAGGCTGGTATTCGGCCAAAGCGTGTGAAAGAACCAAACTTAAAGGGGCGTAGTTTTCCCGCAGGCTCTGAGAAGCAGGCTCGCTGAGCCGCGGACCCATCGACTCGCAACTTCACTCGTGATCCCGGTTTGATCGCAAGCATCTGAAACCGTGGATTCAAGGCGGAGGCAGGATCTAGAGTCGGCGCCAGATCGGAAATCTGAGTCAGCCGGACAGGTTCCTCAAATAAGACGGTGGTGATGATGATGATGAGTACTGTGGACTCGTGGACTGAGCACGCTTGGTTTGAAATGTTCAATGTCGCCCCACAGCAACCACCGACTCACCTTGAATGTGGACATCTGTCTGGTTGAACATGGTTTTTTTCGCAAATAAATACTTGGAATTCTGCAAGCAGGATCAACACACACACACAGCACAGGGCAGTGTTTGCACACATCAGTAAACCGCCATGCCCACTAAATTTAATGCAATCCGAGACGAAGTCAATATTTGCGTAGCCCCCTGCTCTAAGGGGCTATGACTGAAATCACCTAGAATGCCCCTTATCTGGTTATACTGTATAAAAAGCTAAGTGACGCCGTGTGACGAGGGGGGGGGGGGGGGTAAAAAATCGTCCAAAATCGCGTGACGTCATTTATGGACGGCCCCAAACACTGACAATTTTTTTTTTGCCCCGTATTGAAACGGCTTTACGCCGTATGAACCTGCAAACTCAATTTCCCCTGTAGAAGAATACGGAGTAAACCGTATGGGTCGACAGGTATGCATGTGGTAGCTCTCTCATAGCGGGATTACAAAATGTGGGTTTCGATTTAAAGCTTTCGTGACTTGCAAGGATTCATCTTCTTTGGTTCTTTCGGTAAAGTCACGTAGAATGAGAATAAAATAATAAAAAAACAATAAAATTCTCACGACGTTTCGGCCACAGCACAAGTGGCCTTCTTCAGGTGAAAGGAACAAACCTGTAGGGACGACAGAGCTTTTACATCATGACACCTCCTTTGCCAGTAACAAGATATAGGAATAGGTTTTACCCTTTTAACTGGCACAAAAAAACTGACACCTTTATTCAAGGCATCATGTTTGCAATAACCACAACACAAGCAGTCAAAATGTAAACAAAAGAGACAACTCTGATAATAATATTGGCACCGTCCTTGAATTTGATTGATCCACACCCGAGACGGCTTTTCTTAGAGCCTAGTCTCCACTGGTGTTGGACCAGAAGACACCAAAAGGCGTACAACTCAAAAAACAACGCACTATCAGAGTATTGAGGTGCTCGGGGTGAGCATTAACATTATGAGACCTCCTTTGCCAGTAACAAGATATATACATCTTCTTCTATAAAGAACCAAAGAAGACAAATGTGGGTTTATTCACGTCCTACACGGACAGCGCAAGACGTGGTGGGGAGAGAAGACGAGGACAAGGAGAGAGGCACGGGGGAGACTCGATGACAGTCGGCACGGAGACGCGGGCCAGGCACACGAACACACAGAGACCAACACCACCACCAACACCAACACCGCCGCTTAAGAGTGGAATGAGAGGCAACCGAACGCCCTCTGAAGCAGCAGTAGTTCTGTAACCTCCACTTGCCGGTGTCGTTCCAATGACGCAAAGGCGACAAACACCGCTCGCTGGTAGAGTTGCGAGTTAAAACTTTGCCTCAAGCGATGCCCACACACGTGTGGGAGAGACACACACGGAGGGGGGTTGGGGGGCATTGCGATTTTAAAGCAACACGAGTTTCGACGTCAACTTCGGGGGTGTGATTGGTAAACGCAGACACATGCACAGTACACACAGACACACGTGGCGACACACGTGGAGCAAAGGAAGACAACAGGAAGACAACATGAAAACAACACAATAACCACGCAACGTGTAATCAACGCGCTGCCGCTCACCTTGGTGATGTCCCCGCGAAACTTGCCCGGCTCGGGCCCCCCACAGAGCACGCAGGGAACCACGAGGAGCAGGAGGAGGCAGAGATCCAGCGAGGGGGTCACACGGAGCGAGGGGGCCGCACGGGGGTAGTGAAAGGCCATGGCGTAAATGAGGGCCCCCCTCTCTCAACGCCAGCGACTCCCTGGCGATTCCGCGATTCGGTAAAACAGCGAAGATCGATTCCACACCGCCACCGACCACCGTCGATTTTCCCGAGTCGGAATCGAGACGAAAAACATTTCGCCGGCTTTTGCAACTTGGGGGGGGGGGGGTGGGGGGCGATTTCGTCCCCCCCCCCGTATCGATGCCGCGCATCAACGTTTGGCGGAGGATCGACAGGAACAGGTCACGTTGGAGAGTCGCGAGTGTTCATCCGATCGGCGAGTACGCCCAGGCGGGGCCAAGTCGGATCGGGTTAATTACGCAAACACCGGATCGATTCGATCGCTTCCTTGGGATAGTTTACGATCGATCGATTTACGTTCGACTCGGGTTTGTGGTCGCGATTTCATTCGTGGATCGATCTTGGTGGTGGGGGTTAACTCAGCACTCTGACCCCACCACGTGCGGTCGCGCGTTCACCGCTCGTTGCAGAACTTCGCGGTTCGAAACAAGCCGGCCACCCTGGTTATTTTGTGGGGGGGGGGGGGGGGGGGAGGTGTTGGTTTTTTATAATAATAATTGGGTTTTACCCTTTCCGGCAATAAAACGGGTGGTTAAGATGTTAAAACACAGACACCTTTTGCACCTTAAGGTATCATTAAACCTTACACATGCAAACAAACACATGCTTCTGGTAAAATATGCATTGTCTTTGAAACGTATTGGTCCACACCAGACAGGTTTCTTTAGACCCAAGGGGCCGTCCATAAATGACGTCACGCACCTGGGGGGGGGGGGGGGTTCAGACATTTGTGACGATGCGTGACGAGGGGGGGGGTAGAGAAATGTGACGTCACATCAAAATGCGCAACTTTAAATAAACATAAACACGTTCCTACTTAATTAAATATACTTTTTAATAAATGTTTTCTCCTACAACATCAGAGTGCAGCGCCACATTAAATACGCACTACAATGACAATAGTTTAAAGCGATTTGAAGCATGTTTTATATTTTTTTGGTGGGGGGGGGCGCAGAGCTTTGTGACGTCATATTTGAGGGGGGGGTCTGACTTTTTGTGACGCCGTGTGATGAGGGGGGGGGTCAAAAATCGTCCAAAATCGCGTGACGTCATTTATGGACGGCCCCCAAGTCTCAAACAGTGCTAGTCCTTGCAAACGGTTTCAGTTTGGTGTGTTTACATCTTAACACCTGTTTTATTGCCAGAAAGGGTAAAAACAATTCTTATATTTTGATACTGGTAAGAAAGGTCCCATGACGATAGCTTTTGATTATCCAAGTATATTTTGATTGGCGGATAACTAGCAAACAAATCCTTACACAGCCAAAATGAACAAACACCAATTTAAATAAAATTTTCATTCATTTATCCAGGAGAGCCACGCTGAGTGGCGACTCTTTTTCAGCAGGGTCCTGCATTGTGTTTATTATTTTAAGATGTTTTCAGCCAATAAATGTGTTTATTATAGACGAGGGATAAACACTCCATATCCGTACAGATGGAAACAGATGGTGATTAGTACAGGTGCTGTACTGCCCTCTGGCGAGTCATGGGAGACATACCATCGAGTGTCGTTATGTGTCCGCTCAACGGAACACACCAGTGGGTGTTGTTCATTTTCTGGATCTTCATTGTTGCACATAAGACAATTGATTGAAATTCCACAGTCATATGGTGGCCCACGTCTGGTTGATGGAACCTCTTTCAAGCCAAGAAATTGTGATACAATACACGCAAGGCAATGGCAGAGAGGTTGTGTGAAGAGGTGATATTTAATTGACAAAATACAGAATTGGTGAGATAACATTCATACAAATTACACACGAAGGCACTTATTTGATCGGACCGTATGATAGTGGTTGTATCGTTGTTCATATATCACAACGAAAAATAGCTTGTCAATCAGGCTTGTAGCTTGGGATGTGCTCAGCATACATTAAACCCCGTAAAAATATACACTCACTTCCCGTAACTCGTCACGCCTTCATAATTTTGAAAACAGTTGGGACGAAAAGTGCCCATTCGCCAACAAACACGCAAATCGGGCCCTTAAATAAAAACATTTTTAACGCAAAATGGGTGTTTACTTAAAAAGTAATTTGCGTTCAAAGTGGTTAAGGGATCACGCAAAGTGTAATACATTTCAAGTATCATGCACGGTTATTCAAGTTCTCATGCTTGTAATTCCGTACAGGGTTTGTGTTACTCATCTCAGAGAGCTCCGGAACTTGATGCTGGATTCAAATTTGCAGTCAAATCTCCATTATCCCGTCAGGCGCAATGTGGATTCACCGATCTCGTACAAAATTTGAATGTAAAAAAATATTCCGAGCATCTTTGTTTTGTTTGCTGCTCGTCACTTGTAGAGGGTCACAGGAATCAGTGCCCACGTGACTGTAAGTTAAACCCGATTACTTTTGGAAGCAATAAAACAGGCGGTGCATTCTCCACCTTCACCCCCACCCCCCTATTCTAAAATACAAGAGGTTTTACACTATCTGTATTTTTGTTGTATCTGCTACATGACCCCAGGTAATTTTGAGTCAAGTGTACCATTTCTTTAAGGCAGCAGTGAAAATTCACTACCTCCTGCAAGTAATTAACCACATGCTAATTGGCAGAAAAAGCACCAAACATGCAAAACAGCTATCCCTCACAAAAGTTAACGTGTAACTGCCTCAATGAGGAAACTGTGCTTACAGTACTCTTAAAATTAGGTCGTATTTCAAAGGTCTTTTTTACAAAAGGGGCTCGCAGCCATTGTAAACCAAGGACGTCGATAATCTAACGTGTGCCACCACTGAAGTTTGTTCCCGACAATCACAACGTTTGTACGTGCAGACCACAAACATAATACAGTACAGTAATATAAAGTTAGCCAGGTAGCCTCATAACCGCACACACTTTTGGAGCAAGTGTTGTTAGAGAGCACCTGTCAAGGCCGGCACAGAGCAGGATGGGGGTGGTTTGGTCAGCACCACGTCTGGCTGCTTTCTTGGCCTTGACATTGGCCGTGAACAGGAATTGAACCGAGGTCACTGGGTTTGTAAATTAACCGAGGTCACTGGGTTTGCAGTGCACTAACTATTGCGCTAACCGCTCCCCAAACCGCACAGACATGATTGAGGAGCCGGTGATACACATCTCACCTAGCGTTCACGTTCTTTCGGGCAACACCGGGCCCTGTCGGAAAGACACCCTAACCTTCACAGTGGTTTAAGTCATTATCATATCATATCAGTGACAGACCCATGCCCAATGGACTATCCCCTTCCCATCTTCAACGCCACAATCCACGACAAACATCTTCTCCTGCCCCGCTCAACCACTCACCCGCGCTCACCCTCTCTTACCCATGCTACCATGTGTTCCACGTGGCACGGGTGACTGTGGTATGTGAGGATGGTCACAAGAGCTAAAGGTGGTGGCCATGCTATATCAGGGTGGCAGCCCTAGTTGGAAAGGCTGGCGACTGTAATAGGCAAGGGTGGTGGCTGTGCTCACTCGGTGTGGTGACCATGCTAGGTGAGGATGGATGGCAGTATTAGTCAAGGGTCACGGCTACGTTAGGTGGGGATGGCAGTACTGCGTCACTCCCCTTGCTGTGTGCACTGGATCCTCACTCAGGGCTGCACCTTGACCCCCTGCACTTCGATGTTGGGCAGCATGAGGTCCCCGGACACGCGCACCTGGTCGACTGTTGCCATGCGCAGCACACGTTGCTTGAAAGTGAAGGCCGGCTTGTCGTCCACGCTCACCGCAAAGTGGCCCCGCTCACAGCGGATGAGCATCTGTCGGAGGGGGGCAAGAAAGGGCCCGCGGGTAGTTGAGTAGGGTTGATAAACGTCCTGGTTTCAGAAAGACATTCGATAAAGCGCTTGACTCAATTCACTTCACAAGTAGTTCCGTGATGTCATTTTTTCGAGGGGGTGGGTAATGCGCTGTGATACTAAACCTTAACACAAATGCACAACGAGATGATGATGCCATCTGGGTGACTGAAGACTTGGGCGCTTTCCCCACTCTGTGCTTTGCCAGCTTTAAAAGGCGCTCACATAATACATAGCTTGTCTCACGTGGGTCGTTGTCTTTGTGTCTGCACGTGCGTATGCATTTGCGTGGAGTGGTGGCGCAGCGCTTGGTGTAGACCGCAATGAACCTGGCGACCTCGACTCCCAAAAATGTCTAACAATAGCCGTGATTGATATCTGAACCAATTATGCCCCAGGTCAACTAAAATTAGTACCTGGTACAGTGTGGAAATATCAACAATGGAGAGACAAAAGATGGCCAGGCATGGTGCTAGCCACACCAATTTATCAAGCACCTTTCCAGTCTCCATAGGTGTTCGCTAACAGCATTCACCTCACCAATCAGTGCTGGCTTTATGTGAAAACCTTGTCCATGTTTACCTTGAACTCTCTCCCCGGGTAGAAAGGGAATGAGTCCGCTGCCCTCTCCTCCTCGCCCCAGGCATCGCAGAGCAGCGAGTTCCGCACAAACTCCTTCTTGCGGAAGCGTGGGTTGATGTGAAGCGCAATGTCGGGCCCGGTGCTTTGACCCAGGTTCACCAATATCCTGTATCATCATCATCATCGTCGTTGTTGTTGTTGTCATCAACACTGACAAAATTAGAAATACATCAACGTCATCACCATCACAACCGTGGTTATTAATGTCATAAGCAGTAACATTATCTTTAATACCTTTATATTGTTACCATCAAAATCTTTAGAATAATCGTTATCAGCATTATCATCATCACTACTATATTTACATAAACAATAATAACAGACAACATTCGCCCCTAAGTGGCGGTGACATCACCACGGCACTGGTGTGAGGCTAGGTGAACTTTGAGGCCATCACGTGAAGTGCCGAAAGGTGACTGCCAGGAGGTCACGGGACAGACCCAGCTGTTATGGCTTGACCGAGATGCCACAGTGCTCCCCACTGTGCCAACTCGCTGCGATTTACCGATATAAGCACATGTACTGTGTACCATGTAATGGGAACCCTTCCATTGTACTTCAGTGCCTTGTTTATTCGAAGTGTTATTTACAAGACGCATTGTCTCAGTAGGCTCTCTCCTGCAATGAATGCTACCCTGGTGCAATCTGTTCGTGCATGCTGGATTTGGAATTCAGAAAGTTCCAGTTCAATTCGACCTCCTGGTCTGGCAATACAACAACGGTGCAAGTTTCTTGAATCCTGCCTCCCCCACCCCAGTCGGCACAGCATGTATACTGTATACACAGTATACATGGTACACCACCAGAGTTAGTCAAGTGGCAGGTGGCGAGGAGTGGGGTAAAGTGCAGGTGTCCCCTACCTCTCTCAAGACCTCCGATAAGCACGGTTGGCTATGTACAGTACAAAAGAAGTTCTACATACATACATACAAAGACGTCTGGCCAGCGTGAAAGAGTAGGCCAAATACCCTCTAGAGCTCCCACTGCTAATGAAGGATCTTCCACGAGCAGTGGCGAAAGCGAGCAAACGCAAGTGGCTGCACCTTTACCGTTTACACAAGTGGCTCTGCCTGCTGGGGGGATCATGAGACCATGTGAGACGAGCCAGCGCTGATCGCATCACCTGTGTCACCAGAGTGGGTCGCGCTGCTGGGTTTACCTTCTATTCTGAAACGTGTAGTTCCGATCAGCAAATACAAACTATAGCCAGCAAACCTTTACCCAAGCCTCAAGCTTCGTGGGGAAGTATACTTTCCTTTATTGTCACTCACAAATGACTGTAAAAAAGGTCATCAATGACCAAGGTTATTTGAAAACGGGAAGCAGATGAAACAGCCGAGAGACTGGCAAAAGAGTACACACACAGATATGGAAGTATACAGCAAGGTAGTTAAGACATAAAATAGACTGCAAAAAGTAAATCCAGACCCAGGAAATAGTGTAGAATATATATTTTTAAAACTAATCCGAAGCAGTGTAAGATACTCAAGCGAGGTCAATGTTATCATGATTGCGCCGACTTTCTGTGACTGCAATTCAGCCGCGTGTCAAAAGGTGTCTCTAGCGAGCTGGCTGGCTCCGAGGCTTATCCCTGACCCACCCAGGTAACCGGAGGGCCCATGGACCCCGGTGCAGGCACACCGCCTGCACCCTTGACAGCTATACCATCAAATTACGACAAATCTATCACAACTCAATGAGCGTAAAGGCGAGCCCTCACCTGTCCGGGTTGTATTTCACCGTGGCTCGGACCAGGACGGTTTTCCCCTCTGTAAATCCTCCAGGGATGAGTGCGGAGCACGGGGCGGTCTGGACCAAGGCAGACACGTGGCACGCAGATACACAGTTAGACGTACGGGAAAACATAGTCACATAAACAGAAAGACATAGACACAAACACAACAGGCAGGCACAGAGAGAGACAGTGACACAAATATACTGGTGGACAGGCACAAGTTCAGACATAAAGACACACAAACACAGAGGCACACAGATCCACAGCAACAACCACCGTTCGCCACTAAGTGGAGGTGACGTCACAACGGCGTTTGTGCCAGTCTAGGTGCACTTTGAGGTGACGTAAATTGTTGAAAGCTCGCTGGAAGGTCATCGGACACACCCAGGTGCTATGGGTCCACTTAGATGACTGACAGGTGCCCCAGCTATACTCCTTACTGAGCCAACTTGCTGCGTTTTAGCCACCTGGTGCTCCATTGTACAGACACACGGACATACATATATATACTGGACAGTTACAGAGACACAGGTAAATATACGTAAACATAAACACAACAGGCATATAGAAACAAAATTACACGAATGTAATGGGACACGCACAAGTACCCAGGCACCAGACATGCCGTATATATGGGAAAACATAAAAAACCGATAAGTCAATATGAGGCATACAGAAAGACACAAAATCGGACGGCAAAGTGGACACGTGGCATAAACAGTGCCAGTGTTCGTCGGCAAAACGCCAAGGAAAAAAAATATCACGTGGCAGCAAAGCACTGAATAATTTTTCACGGGGGAAAATTTTCGCTCCCACACGAAAACAAAAATGTCATTCAAGGGCAGCCTGACAGGGATAGCCTCAGCTAAGCGTGTTTGTAGAAAAAATATATTTTTTTAAATAGTGCTGAATGGAATATGCTCTACCGTCACCCCAGGCAGGGTCCTTGCGCAGGAGTGGCCACCCAACCCAGCCCAGTGTCTCGTTAATAATTACTTCACACGTTGCCTCTCCGGTTATCTATGCCATTCCAAGACCCCAGTATTTGTGCTAACCACCCCACCCCAACCACTACTGTGTGGCTCTCGATGTTTACCAATCAATAAGCACGTGTGCGTCGCACACTCCTCGCAGCGCTCTGCAGTTCAATGAACGTTGACCGAGCTGAAATGGTGGCCCGTAGGGTGGTGACGCTGCGAGAACTGGAGTCTGAAAATTTCTGCGACTTGCCAGGTTCAAAGTATAGTTCGCCAACCACTGCGCCACTACTCCACCCAATGTCGAATAACAATTGTCTGTATGATTTTTCTCTCGGTCAGGCTGCTGTCCGGTTTGAGAGATGTTTGGATCCAATGGTTGTTTGGAAAAACCAGATGGACACAAATGGATGGATGTATGGATGGTTGGATGAATGAATGGACGGCTGGCCGACTCGACAGATACATGGACAGACAAGCAGAGAGATGGATGGAAATGGGAGAGATAAGGAGAGGGAAAGATGGTTGGATAGCCAGCCGACTAGACCAGACACACATAGAGACTGACAAACAAACGACAAACGGACGGATTGGAGTCGTACCAGTGTCCTCGAGAAGCGGATGCTCGACACAGTGACGGGGCCGGAAATATGGAAGGTGTCCACTTCCTCCAGCGGCAGGCGGTGCTTGTAGGTGATGTACGGCCGCCCGGCCGACACAATCTGCACGGGCAGTGCAGGTCACGGGATGTACGCATGGATGCACGCACGCGCATGGGTGTGTGTGCACGTGTGTGTGCGTGCGGATGTGTGTGAGTGGAGCGATAGTGGAGCAGTTATCACACTGCGATGTATGCCCGTGTAAATAAGCTAAGAATTCAATCTGTCTTTCAAGGTCCGATAACAAGGCACCTGCATACAAACTGTCACGGACGAGCACAAGTTGCGCAACTCGGCACCAAACTGAAGTTTGCTCGGTGACGTCACATTCTCGTGCACATCTTTAAACATGAACAAGAGCAAGTGAAATACGATGAGGTGTTATGACCAGGGATAATGTTCAACCTGGTCTGTCCAGATCAACGACCCAGAAAATATTCTCCACCTGGCACACCATATCCTGTATACCTCCGCTTGGGCTGCAGCTACTACCAGTCACGTAACACCTACTCCGGTCGAACCAGCGACCCGGAAAATATGCAGTGAGAAATTATGATATCCCTGGTCACCGTGAATCAACATAACCACAAACCACAAAAAACATTGTGGCTTCTCAGCTTGAAACGACCACATTCTTTTTCACATAAAACACCAATAAATCACCAGGCTGTGCAAAGAGTTCAGCCACCAGCAGGGTTGATGATAAAAATTTGCATCTAAAATATTTGTCAATGAAGCATTCTTTTTTTTATCACAGTCAATGTTGACTACGAGTGGACGAAATTCATCTAGTGCGACGACAGCCAAGATCAAAGTTCGACTCATTCTGAAGAGACGAATTTTGTCGATTTGGAGATGCACACTAAGATGATTTAGTTACGTCATCAGAGACGGCAGTGCAATGAGCAAGCAAGCAAGCCTTGCATAACCCCTATGCCAATAACGGACCGCAAACCCAATCGCGGAAGTTCATCTACACTGACATACGCTCCGGATTCCAAGCTCAGACTTTCTTTGAGCTAGAGCACACTCTGAACAAGAGAACGGCTCCATGAATTCCGCAGACTCGGACTCGACTGCAATAGTAAACTGACGAAATGAACACCAGAGATGCGGCTGGGCACTCCGACCGAACATGCCGCCACCACCGCTCCACCCACAGAGCTCCCCGCCGCTCGAGGCCCCGGTGGCTGCCCCCCCCCTCCCACCTGGATCTCCTCCTCGGTGGCGATGAGAGTGACGCCAAAGCTTTGGCCGCGCACAAAGGGGCCGGTGCCGCCGCCAGTCTTCTCCTCGCGGCCCCAGCGCTGGGCGCGCATCGAGTTGCACACGACGCAGCCGCTGCCCAACCGCACGCTCACGTGCAGCGCGACGTCAGCGTGAGGGCGGATGTGCGAGCCGATCTGCAGCTCCATGTGGAACCTGCGGCAGGGACGGCGCCGGGCAAAGCCGTTTGGGTTGCAGAGATCGCGCGAAACTAAACATATAAGCTAAAACTATTTTTTTTATTCACCAGGTAAGGCCCGCTGAGCTATATATAGCTATTTTTCAGAAGCTCAACGAAGTGGCTTATTGTGTGGAAATCTATAGCAGCCAAATATAGTACTCTAAACGCATGTTGATTCTAAATGTGGAAGGGAAAAACCAGAGGACCCAGATAAAAAATCTACACGACCACAGGGAGAACATGCAAACTCCAAATATACAGGTGTCAGGGTTGGGATCGAAGGGTGATTAATTGTGCGTGAAGAACTACAGACTCATTAGCCTCTCATCACACAGATATAAATTATCAAGAAGATCAAGCAAGAGCAGGATCAAAGTATCATCAAGGTGTTATCAAGGCCTAAGCTACTGGTGCCAACACACTTCACTCCCAACCTTTCTACCCTCCACCAGATACCGAAGCTGTCACAGTCAACATGCCACCTCCGAAGATAATTTCGATTGTCAGCTTAGCAGAAGCCAGCAGATTTGAAAACCGGGGGCCGGCACAGGATACACGATTCACCACAACGCTTTGCTCTCTCTCAACAACCGCACCCTCTCCACTAAGCACCATGAAGCCCTTAAGACTTATGTTTCAACAGTGGGGCGTGTGACGTGGATTCAAACAGAGCTCCCGATCATGGGCTGGATTTAAATTGATCTTGGTGGAATGTGAGCTATATTTAGATTTGATTCGTGAGACTAAACTGGACTTGGACTAAAGTTTTTGGGTCTTGAGGAAATATAGCTGGGTTTATATTGAGCCCAGTGCAAATAATCTGGGTTAGAATGTATGGTTCGGTTTTGGAGGCACGTGGTCTAAATTTAAATGACCCCTGCCGAAAGATCCATGAAAAATGCGAGTTGGGTTTAGAATAAGCCATGTGTCACATGAGCTGGATTTAGATGGAGCTCTACAGAGCGTTGATTGGCTTTAAATTTAGATTTGAACCAAGAGAAAAGTGGAATCGGTTTAGACTGAGTCGTGTGGGATTTGCCCCATGCTCAGAAGGATTGCTGTGAAATCTGTAAATGTGTGGGCTTGTCAAAAAACATCTGAAAGTCCTATTCAGCCCCCAGTAAAGAAAAGGTTTCCACCCCTGATTAAACTGTGGATTGTCACCTATGGGTTTAGACCAAGAGTGTTTTAACCTATTTGGTATGGCAGCCACCCAATCAAGACTATTAGTCCCCGAGCACCTCCCTCCTCTCCACCAGGTTAGAAAGGCCACAATACAGAGACCATACGACCACACCTCTAGTCAACACCGCATTAGTACGGCGTTTGCTTCATGTTGCGTATTAGTGGATCTTGTTGCCACACTGTGGCGCCGACGTTCCCCCGCGCGCATTCAACATTTTTCCTGCATGGTATGCATGCCGCGGCCTGCAGCCCTCCTGGTTTAGACTGTGGGCTGTGTGGTCTGGGCTGATTGCGGGGTCCCCTAAAAACCAAGTGAGTTACCTCTCCGCATTGGTGGGCACATAGCCCTCGATAGTGATGCTCTTCCCAACCTGGAAGCCTTCATAGATGCTCATGCTGAACGGCAGCATCTGCGCCAAGGATATGGACAAAGAGCAAAGAGAAAGTCATCAATACCATCATCTTCACCATCACCATCAAATCTCTCAGCACCTGTGCTCACAAGGAAATGAGCAAACGACACGAGACCCATCACAGGCATTTTTCAGTACCAACATCACCACCAACATCACCACCACCACTATCATCTTCACCGAACAGATGAATAAGTGACAATGGAGATCCATCAGAGCCAACACACCAAGCACCATCATCGCCATCCTATCATTATTACCTGCACTGCTATTACCATCACCTGCATCAAAAAGATTAACACACGACACGGAAGACCCATTAACAATAGTCAACACAGAGCCACCGTTACCATAATCATCAAGATTATCACCATCATCTCAGCACTTATGCTCACAAGGAAATTAACAGACCACGTGAGGGATCCATCAGAGCCAAAACAGCACCACCATCATCATCATCATCCCACCATTATTACCGTCACCTTCATCTGCAACCAAAGAGATTATAAACATACGGCGAGAAAGAAAAATCCATGGCCCAGGAATAGTCCTGATAAGTGCGGAACGTGGAGCAATCTGTCAGGCAATCGGCCCCACATGGACACTGAAATAAATTACAGCATAAATTACTTTTCTAACAAAATCTTGACTTTCACAACCGTTACAGAAGAATCCCGCGTTAACGTGAAATTCACATGTTTGACCGGGTTCATTTCATAACACGAGCGTCTTTTTTTATTTCAGCTAAACGTTTCACAAAACTCAAGAGAGGGCCCGTGTTATCACAATTCAGTAATTCAATGGATACAAGGAGGAAACGTGGGTATGATGATGAAGGCCCATTTAAGTCGTGTAACAATGGGGAAATATAGTAGTAACATTTAAGCATTTTTTTTTAAGAAACGTCTCTCCCTCGTGGGGACGCACCTTAGAAGATAAACGTTGGGTTGTCCGCTTTCCAAATTCCCAGCCCCGTGTGAAAACGCGGATCGAGACAGAGTAGACATCAAGATAGCTGTTGAGACAATGAATGAAGCTCTGGGCTGTGATGGAAAGACAGATGAAGAGGTGGAGGAGGAACGAGGGGGACTACTCAGGGTGGACGAGGGGCAGTTACCCACCGGGTTTTTCACCGAGGGCTGAGCCTCATCGGCTGATGCTGGCTGCAGTTTCAAAATCCACGGGTCCCGCTCCATGCTGGCCGTGAGGTTGAGCGTGCAGTCTGTAGAGCTGTACACCTCCACTAAAGTCTTATACACCTCCACTAAAGTTACTGTAATCTTATACGCCTCCACTAAAGTTACTGTAGAGTGTAGATCGTAGGCTATAGAGTCCAGATATCTCGATACCATTCACTCTCGCTACACCGCACACACGGACGACAGTGCTACGGTACTGTAGATTGTACTAGCGGTCAGCCTGTACTGAACATTACGACCCACGCTAAATACTGTGTTTTCAACTATGATCTAGTCACCTCGTCTGTAGTATATACTGTATTTTAGTATCGACTCTACTAATACTGCTCACAGTCTATAGTATACCGTCTCACCTGCAGTACTGTGTAGTCTACGCCGTGTTCGACGTTACAGTGCCGTATGTGTATCATGTCGCGAACGTCCAAGCGCTAAATACATTAAAAAACGCATATCCCTGTAATCTGTGACACGTACTGTATAAGTCCGGTATGCTACCTGTAAGCGATACTAATCAATCTCAAGTCTATACGATGCTGATGCTGTCTGTATGATGTCTGTATGCTGTGCCGTCCGCCTATGTCACCACCACCCGTGGTGTTGTCAATACAGTCTAGAGGCAGTCTACAGTATCAACTCTATCACTGTCGGCCTGATGTTACCATCACCCGTGGTGTTGTCAATACAGTCTAGAGGCAGTCTACAGTATCAACTCTATCACTGTCGGCCTGATGTTACCACCACCCGTGGTGTTGTCAATGTAGACTAGAGGCAGTCTACAGTATCCACTCTATCACTGTCGGCCTGATGTTACCACCACCCGTGGTGTTGTCAATGCAGACTAGAGACAGTCTACAGTATCAACTCTATCACTGTCGGCCTGATGTTACCACCACCCGTGGTGTTGTCAATGTAGACTAGAGACAGTCTACAGTATCCACTCTATCACTGTCGGCCTGATGTTACCACCACCCGTGGTGTTGTCAATGTAGACTAGAGACAGTCTACAGTATCAACTCTGTTACTGTCGGCCTGATGTTACCACCACCCGTGGTGTTGTCAATGTAGACTAGAGACAGTCTACAGTATCAACTCTGTTACTGTCGGCCTGATGTTACCACCACCCGTGGTGTTGTCAATGTAGACTAGAGGCAGTCTACAGTATCAACTCTGTCACTGTCGGCCTGATGTTACCACCACCCGTGGTGTTGTCAATGTAGACTAGAGACAGTCTACAGTATCAACTCTGTCACTGTCGGCCTGATGTTACCACCACCCGTGGTGTTGTCAATGTAGACTAGAGGCAGTCTACAGTATCCACTCTATCACTGTCGGCCTGATGTTACCACCACCCGTGGTGTTGTCAATGTAGACTAGAGACAGTCTACAGTATCAACTCTATCACTGTCGGCCTGATGTTACCACCACTCGTGGTGTTGTCAATGTAGACTAGAGACAGTCTACAGTATCCACTCTATCACTGTCGGCCTGATGTTACCACCACCCGTGGTGTTGTCAATGTAGACTAGAGACAGTCTACAGTATCAACTCTGTTACTGTCGGCCTGATGTTACCACCACCCGTGGTGTTGTCAATGTAGACTAGAGACAGTCTACAGTATCAACTCTATCACTGTCGGCCTGATGTTACCACCACTCGTGGTGTTGTCAATGTAGACTAGAGACAGTCTACAGTATCCACTCTATCACTGTCGGCCTGATGTTACCACCACCCGTGATGTTGTCAATGTAGACTAGAGACAGTCTACAGTATCAACTCTGTTACTGTCGGCCTGATGTTACCACCACCCGTGGTGTTGTCAATGTAGACTAGAGACAGTCTACAGTATCAACTCTATCACTGTCGGCCTGATGTTACCACCACTCGTGGTGTTGTCAATGTAGACTAGAGACAGTCTACAGTATCCACTCTATCACTGTCGGCCTGATGTTACCACCACCCGTGGTGTTGTCAATGCAGACTAGAGACAGTCTACAGTATCAACTCTATCACTGTCGGCCTGATGTTACCACCACCCGTGGTGTTGTCAATGTAGACTAGAGACAGTCTACAGTATCAACTCTATCACTGTCGGCCTGATGTTACCACCACCCGTGGTGTTGTCAATGTAGACTAGAGACAGTCTACAGTATCCACTCTATCACTGTCGGCCTGATGTTACCACCACCCGTGGTGTTGTCAATGTAGACTAGAGACAGTCTACAGTATCAACTCTATCACTGTCGGCCTGATGTTACCACCACCCGTGGTGTTGTCAATGTAGACTAGAGACAGTCTATAGTATCAACTCTGTTACTGTCGGCCTGATGTTACCACCACCCGTGGTGTTGTCAATGTAGACTAGAGACAGTCTACAGTATCAACTCTGTTACTGTCGGCCTGATGTTACCACCACCCGTGGAGCCTGCACATCTCCAGCGTCTGTAAACGACGATGCCCCCCCCCCCCCTCTGTAGTACCACGCTCGCAACAGCCTATGAAGCTTCACACCTCTATCCTCTCCGTCTGTATGTGATGCTCCGTTACACTTGTGCAGCCTTGTAGAAGCTGCACCGTGTCGTCTTCACACTGTGAGAGTCTACACACGTGGGTCGATCCACTGCTGGATGACGGCCTCGCTCAACACGCCATACCGGCAGCAGCAGGGGCAGTGAGAGAGAGAGAAGGGGGGGGCAGGATGACAATTCTAGACTTATATACCCTTGTTTGTTGCTTCTCTCTTCCTGATAATTTCCCTCTGTGGCCAACCATGCACCCAAGAACAGCATCTGTGGCTGTACGAACAGCAGCAGCAGAAGAAGCCAGCTAAAACCAGATTGTGCTGCTGCTGTTGTTAATGTCGAGGTCTGTCTGCTGTCGGTCAGCCGATGACTGTAGGAAGAATATAAATCCACAGAAAGCTTCAAGGATCCATTCAATTTCCGGGCAATGTCTTCGTCTCCAAAGTCACTCCACCGTCTCCTCGCAATTCTACAGCCCTGTGATTAATAGAGAGAGATATATATACACACACGTTGTGCGTATACGTTAAACAAGTGTTACACAGAGCTACGCCGCAAAACACAAAAATTGTCGTCTTAATTATTGAGCGATGTCCCTGGATGTTTGATTTTTAGACAATGATAATGACGGTGGTGATGATGAATTATTGATTACAACAAAAGGAGGCCACATTCCTAAAGTCCACACCGTCGTTATGAACAAAGTCTACAATTATTACCTTTACGTTCTTCTGAAGTCATATTCCCTTGCGAAAATTATGATGATGATGATGATGACGGCGATAGTTATTCATTAATGAACCCTCGTGAGAGTAAGAATAATGACAGGCACACGTTGATTCTAAACGATTCCAACGTGCCAGGAAGCAGCGACGCTACTCCGATGGTGGTGGTCGTGGTGATGTAACGACGACGACGACGTGGTAATGATGATGTTGTTGATGTTGTTGCTCAATGTGTGACGACCCAGCATGGTGTGAGACCGCCGTCTGCTGGCCGTCCAGTGGGAATGTTCATTGGTTGCCGTGGCTGCTGAAGATACAAGCTTTGCCCCATCGGCGGGTGGCGAAAAAATATAACAAAATAACAATTCATCTTCTTTGGTTCTTTCGGTACACCTTCCCCTCCGTCTCACTTCTACCCTTACGCGCGGTTGGGCAGCACTATGTTGTTAGGAGTTAAATTCCAACGTCGATGACGATGGAGAGAGGAGCTTCGGCGGAGAGTTTGTGTCGGAATATTGATGGTACACTGGAGGAAATCCGATGAGCTGTGAAGCTCTTCACCGATGTCCATTGAGGGGGCCAAGATCCACGACGTTGAAGGAGGGCGGACTGTGCGGGGCCCAAACAGGTGACGTTTCGGACAATGGCCCTTCATACCACGTGAATAGAGGGGCCAGAGAGAATGTGTGCTAACAATTTGGAGACTGCGCTTCTTTACACCATGGGGCCTGCATGATGAGGATTACAATATAAACATGCTCAGTGGTAAACAGTTTTAAATACTTAGTTTTTTTAATGTTAAAACATGTTTAGTGATAAAGTTTTGAATACTTCGTTTTTTTATATAAAAAAATGTTTTAGTTAGAAACAGTTTTTTAAATACTTATATAGTGTATTTTTAATATTGAACATGTTTTGTGATAAACAGTTTTAAATACTTATAAAGTTTATTGAATGTTTAAAAATGTTTCATGATAATCAGTTTTAAATACCTCAGGTTTTTTTATGTTCAAAAATGTTTCGTGATAAAAACAGGCCCTTAAAAACTTATTATTTTTAAAACGTAAACAAATATTTCGTGAACAGTGTTTAAATAGGCTTATGAATAATTTACATGACAGCACTGTAATCATGAAGTAGCAACAACTATATTATATATTCTTGGTTCTTTCGGTAAAGTCACGTAGAAGGGAAACAATAAAGTAATAAAAATATAAAACAATAAAATATATATTTTAAAGTCTTTCGTGACTGCAGGGATTCATATTCTTGGTTCTTTCGGTAAAGTCACGTAGAAGGGAAACAATAAAATAAAATTATAAATATAAAATATATATTTTTATTTTTAAAAAAAGATATATTTATATATATGAAATATATATTTATATATTTTATTGTTTTATATTTTTATTATTTTATTGTTTCCCTTCTACGTGGCGACTTTACCGAAAGAACCAAGAATATGAATCCCTGCAGTCACGAAAGCTTTAAATCAAAACAACTATACTCTTTGGTTCGTTCGGTAAAGTCGTCCTCAGGCGGAAAAAAAACATAATCCAGCAATAAACTAATTTGTGTAATTTTGTCCAGTGAAAACATTAAATTTCCCTTCCACGCGACTTCACCACTCAAACATTATCCAGCCACTCGAGGACCGCTACAGCACCGCAATTTTTCCAAATGCAATCGATTTTTAGATCGATTCCTCGAACTTTAGATCGATTCCTCAAACTTTAAATCGAATCGTTACGTGACGCAGTTAACCCGGATGTGACGTCATCACCGCGCTTGCCCCCTGACCCCCCCCCCCGGCCTCGCCTTTCCATCGTTGCGGCGCGCCGCGAACGCGTGATTCAGGAGCACGTGGCGAGCGCGCAGTGAACGGCTTCCTCGAGGTCGTTGTCAAGCCTGGTCAGGGGCCCCACGGTCAGTGTCTCACACGCGTCTGTCCCTCTTCTTCACCTCGGTCTCCCCACTCGCATCGTGTACCGCCTCATTTCGCACCTCGTCCACCTTGTTTTTTTTTATCCTACAGTCACCTCGTCCACTCTATCCGCGTCGTCTCACGCGATTCGCCTACCTGCCCTTCGCCTGTGCTTCAGATTGCTTTCATTTTCTTCTCTCGTCTCGCCTCGGCTCGCTTCTCACTTTCCTATCCACTCTCGCCTCGTATCGCCGGATGACCTACGGCTACTCTCCCCCTCACCCCGTCTCCCCTCAATAGCGAAACGACAGAGCCACTCGGTCATGGAGATAGAAGAGGCGGCGGTGGCGACGGCGGCGGCAGAGGTAGCGGACGGTGACTTTCAGCCGAGGAAAGGAAGCCGCGCGTCACGCCGCCGCAAGCGAAAGCTCGAGATCGGTGACGAGGAGGGCATGGAGGAGGCAGAAACAACAACAACGACGACAACAACAGCGACGATGGAGATCACCGCGGAAGTCCAGAGTACGCCTGGGGTCGAGAGCTCCGAGCCGGCGGTCAAGAGGCCCAACTTTCCGCCCATCTCCGGGGATAAACTGATGGTTCGAGGCACTTCTGTTTACCCTCTCCGAAGAAGCTGGCATTTCACTTACTCGCCCACTCCGCACACTCGTTCAGTAACATTCACTGATCAACTCACCCACACCAACTCACTCGCCCATCGACTCGCTAATTCAGTCACCCACAAATAATTAACTCGCTTGCCCGCTAATTCACTCGGATATTGTTATTTAACCAGTTTAAATCTCCGTATTACAAGGGAGACCTGGTTTATTTCAAAGTAAATTTCTTGGCATTTTAATACCCCGCAACAAAGCAGCACAAAATGTGTTTGAGGAGTCTTGAGTCACATTTCGATACGTGATCAGCAAAAGCCCACTCCCCCTTTAACTGGCCTTCAATGAAGGCATCCCATGATCCCACTAGTGACCTCACCTGGTTATAAACAACCATAGTACGTATCTTCATATCGAGAGCAGAAACAACGTAATTTAAGTTTATTAAGTTGGTGAACAGACTTGACACTGCGGATCAATTCACATTCATGGAATCGGCCAAGCAACCCAATGTAGCAGAACGCTCCTGAAAAATATTTTGAATCGGCGTGTCTTACATGGATAGGCAATACAGATTATTATTAAGTCATCTGCCGTATGGTCATATCACATGTGAAAAGCTAAACTTTTAATATCGAGGTTTGGGAGCTACATAACGGCTTCGGGTGGTGGTTTGGTTCATACACTTGGGGGGGGGGGAGGGGTTTCCTCCTAAGTATCTCTCCGGGTAAGAGTAGACTTACGTGCATGGCGATTATGAACGGTGACATTTTTCAAACGCGAGATTTTTTTTTGCGTGATTTTCACTTGCGACTCCTGCGGGCCCACAGGCCGGCAGCCCCGAGCTTCGCAAGGTGCCCGTGCCGGCAAACCGCTTCACCCCGCTCAAGGAGAACTGGATGAAGATCTTCACGCCCGTGGTGGAGCACCTGCAGTTGCAGATCCGCTTCAACCTCAAGACGCGCAACGTGGAGCTAAAGGCGCGTGACCGTGTTGGCGCGACGTTACGGGAGATGCACCTTCACACTGCGTGGGTTGAAGTTGCAGACAAGCGACGCTCGAGAAAGCTGAGCGTACCCACCCACGTCAGGTCCCATGTCTCCCTTGTACGAGACACGTGAAGTTGTTTTATGGATTTTGCCCGGGTTAAATTAAGGATTTGACCGACTGGCCGCAGTTTTAATCTGCAGGAGAAACGGTACTTAGAATCTGCAGGTGAAATCGATTCTTAAATGATTGAATCGCTTGTTTAAGATATTACGCAGGTGCTGTTGAATTTAGGCTTACGGTGCAAACAAAATTCTAGGAACAACCCAAGTAAAAATACAAATGAGACCCTAAAATCAAGACAAGTTCATTCTTGGATCGAACCTTGACTATTCATCGAATGGCTGCCAAAAAGGGGAATTCTTATGGTCAAAAAAAATCTCCCGGTTATAAATAAACATTCCTTACTGCTCGCGAGCAGGTGGCTATATTGTTTCCCGGGAGTTGATGACTGTTTGTGACGATGCTCACGCCATGCTGTGTCGTGCTCCGCGCAGACGTGCAAGGAGACGCAGGATATCGGCGCGCTGCAGAAGGCGGCGGACTTCGTGCGAGCCTTCGTGCTCGGCTTCCAGGTGGAGGTACGATTGTCACGCGGAACTTGGCGGTGGCAGCGCTCGCGCCAATGCCCACTTGCTCATTACCGGCGCCAAGTAAAAGCGTGGTGGTGGTGGAGACGTGAGTGATCGGTTTCGCTGTGTGAACTGCGGCGGCTCACATCGGCAATTCCTTTCCTCCCGCAGGACGCGCTCGCTCTCATGCGATTGGACGACCTCTTCTTGGAGTCGTTCGACATCACGGACGGTGAGTGCAGAATTCTCGCGCACGGTCGCACGCAGAGATACCACTGCCATTTTGATGTTTGTCTCGCCCCGGTGTTAAAATCGGATCTGAGCCAACGATAAACGACTCTTGACTAATGGAGCAACCAAAACTGTTGAGGATAAAAATCGAATCTATACAAACGAGAGAGTAAAATACAGACAATAAATTCTCCAATAGATTTTATTTGTTTAAATGACTATCAAGCATGCGCGTGATGACGGTATGCTTGACAGTTATTTCGAAGTTTTTGTCATTGACGAAGCCTAAAACCTCACCGAATCGATGTGTAGGTCGGTAGCCACGAGGACGGTTCGGTTTTGGTTTGCGTTGCATTTTTAGATCAACTCGTGCTATCGCTTACCGCCCCCTCCACCCCCGCCCCCACAGTGAAGCCACTGAAGGGAGACCACCTCTCCCGTGCCGTGGGGCGCATTGCAGGCAAGGGAGGCAAGACCAAGTTCACTATCGAGAACGTGACGCGCTCCCGCATCGTGCTGGCCGACACGTAAGGCATCTGTCTTTCTGTTCCTCGATCCATCTTGGCTGCCCATCCGTCTGTGCATCTGTCTGTCCCTCTGTTCAACTCTCCATCCTTCTATTCCTCTGTCCATCCATCTCTCACTGTCCGTCCATCTCTCCGTCGGTCTCTCTGTTTTCCCGTCCCTAGATGAATCCATACAAGCCTAGTCTTCAGATGCACCTGTGCTTAGATGCTGTGTACACAGATCCTAATTGACTTGTATTTTAGTTGGACTTAACTCTGAAACAGTTAGCCTCGTCACACAAGACAGTATTAACGTCAAAACGCAATTAATTACAATTTAGTACAGTTTACGTCCTAAATCCACTACTGCTGAAGACATTGGATTATTTTTTCTGCCAACGCTTGGTGTTGTGTACGACCGCGTTTCACTTCTCGTCGTTTGTTTTCCCACAGGAAGGTGCACATCCTCGGCTCCTTCCAGAACATCAAGATTGCGAGGACGGCGATATGCAACCTCATCTTAGGTACAAATAGCACGGTTGGCTACGTATGGTGCGAAAGAAGTACAACATACATACGTCACACCGCGTGGTCACCCCGAGATGTACTGCAGTGGGAGGTGCGCGGAATAAATAATTATAATAAACGATGGTGATGATGCGTAACCGTAGCTCGCACCACAATCGGGAAGGGGGGTGGCAGTGGTCGAGATCGTACAATTGGGAAATCCGCTTGACAATCTATACACCCATAGGGTGTACACGTTACTACTTCCTGCTTGCTTCACCTGCCCCCCAACCCCACCCCCGTGTGTGTTTTTTGCAGGGAGCCCCCCCTCGAAGGTTTACGGGAATCTGCGTGCCGTGGCCACCAGATCCGCCGAGAGATTCTGAAGCTGGCGTCTCGTCCGCTGCCTTCATCGCGGATCGGCGGATGGGAGGGGGGGGAAGGAGCACCAGGAACTATCCCCCGGGATACCGCTCCGGAGATGGAATCCAACCTTGGACTCTGTTTTATTGTATTATTTGTATTCTTCGGTGAGGAAGCGATTGTCTCTCAAACGGCTCCTGCGAGGCACCGCAACGCTATGCGGCTGGGGCCGTGCACCGTGCTTTCAACGCCTACGGCCAGATCGGCTGCAACGTGCCCGATCTCATCACGTCTCGGGAAGCTAAGCAGATTTGAGCCTGGATAGCGCTCTGATGGGTGACTGCCGTGCACGCTACAAGGTGAATATAGGCAGCGGTGGGGCTATGTTGTGGACAGTAGGGGGCATTGCATGTAAACCAATTGTTGTGCTCTTCTCCTATGTTACCACGTCTATGCTCCCTCTGCCAACACGCAATGACCAACGTGTGGGGACGTGTGGTCAAATAGCCCCCACAACTCGCACTGTGGGGAGGCCCTCATCCAGCAGTGGACTGACAACGGGTTGCAACGTGTGCTCGTTAAAATGGGCGCCTGGCGCCATGGTGATGAGGGTGGTGCGGCCGTGCCGATCGCGGTCGGCACGGCCACGGTCCCTCACGACGTGAGGCCGAGTGAATAAACCGCTAACGTTATTATCCACAATGCACTGCGTTCTTGGATTTGTTTTTTCACGTCGGTTATTAAGAAGGCGTAAGTTGGGGCGAGGAGCACGCAGGTTTAAGAACAACTCCCGTGTTTAATGAAAGTCTGATCACTTAATTCGGTGAAGTGCGCAAAGCGTGGAGAGATGGGTTTGGAATTACACTGCCAAAGAGGATTAGCAATAACGCAGGTGAACAGATCGATAATAAACGTAAGTAGGCCTAGGATGATAGCTGATGGGCAAGACTAACTACCGCGTGACAGCAAAAGGAGGGAAAGCGCCCAAGAGGACGTCCACCACGGTTCTGGAGTGACGAGGTCAGCTCATGCATCAGTGGTGTGTGAATTGTTGCATTGCAGGACCGTGAGAGATGAAGCCTTGGGGAGGCCTTCATCCAGCATTGTGGATTGGTGGTGACTGATAATTCTTACTGTGGCTCGGGTGACGATGCTGCTGATGATATCTGCAGTTCAAGCAGTGACGGAGAGAATCTGATGTGTTTTTGTAGCAAATGTACTCATTTTCCCTAGTTTTTGCCAAATTATAAGACTTGACGAGACTTCGATCCCAGTGATTAAAAATAAATATTTGTCTCATTGGGTTCTCTGATGACGCTGGATCCGTCTTTTGTAAAACGAAACCAAGAGCTGCAGTGTTTGTTTCTCCGAAAGACCCGCTTTCAGCGTAATGGCAATGCTTATTGGTGATAGTGGTGGTGAACTCTGGTAGTGGCGGTGTTGTTGGAGGAAGTAGAGGAGGGTGCTGTGAACGGAAATCTCCACGCGTTTCAAATCTCCACGCGTTTCAAATCTCCATGAGCATCTTCGAGTGGAAGTCCAGGTCCCCGATCATCTGTAGGGTCGGCAAGGGGTCATAGGTGAGGATGGAGCCTCCACATTTGGACGAACGGTTGAGTACGTTCAGTAGAATTTAGCCATTTCAAATAACTATACTTGAAGTCTGGTCAAATAACCCCAACATCCACAGGGTATCCAGAGCTTAATTTCTCGCTTAATATTTTCCAGGTCGCTGTTATACTGGACTGTGGCACATGACCAGTAAGCCAGAGCCACAGCAAGAGAGATATACTGGATGTAGTGTTGCTGGGTCCAGAAATATCCAGGTCACCCACCCAAACCCGGGTAAAATTCAGTCTGGAGGCAATTCCCTCTAGTTTGAGATCCCTATCTCAACTTACATTTTTCACTTCATCCTGATTGTCACTCTCAGCGAGGGGGGAGAGGGAGGTTGTCACGAGATGTAAAATCCATTCGGAAATTTAGCGCAGAGCGACCTCGGCCCTCCCCGTTCCCTCCCAACTCAGCCAGGAGCGGTGGTACCACTCGCATTCTCGACTTGGGCACCTTCCTGTGAGGTTTGTATGTTCTCCTTTTCTGTGGGGGTTTCCTCTGGGTTCTCTCCTTTTCTCCCACAGACAAAAAACAACTCTATACAATTTAACTGGCATTGGCCAAAATATACAAATGCTTTAAAAAATCGCCTGCAACATTGCCCCCCCCCCCGACTGTGAAAACTCGACAGGACCAGCTTTTAAAAGTTGGCTACACGCGCATCATAAAAAATATATTGCATCATATCGCGCTGCTCATTGTAGACGTTTACACAGCAATCATCGACTCTTACTGGCAGACTAATGGCCGTGTTCAGGCCAGGTGCTGTCGCCTTGATGCCTACAGGTTGACAGCTGCCGCTGGAGATGTCCTTTTAAAAAATGTTGAGATGACATGTACAGTACTCGGAGACGCCCCATCATGTAGGAGGATGCTGTCTTTTCAAAAAATCAACGCAAGCATTCTGTAATTCGCTTGACTTGTCTGTGGTCACCCCCACTCTGAAACCCTCCGCTCCGTGCAGCAGCGTCGAGGCTCTGATGCGGCCTCCTCCCTCTCGTCTCTACTGAACCCTCTGCTCCCGTTCCTCCGTTCCTTTTCCATCCTTCCCTCGTAATTCCCATTCTCTTCCCTTTCCCGTTCCTTATTCTCTTCCCATGTAACTGTACTGCTCCCATTTTCGTGGTATGTGTGGCCACGGGTACACAGACAAAGATCCTCCATAGAGTCTCGGCAGACTTGGGGCAAGTGCTGTTAGCGAGTAGCACCAATGAAGGCCCCCACGGCACACGAGGGGGTGGATACCCATCACCACGCCCGATCGCCTTTGTCTCTCCAGTGTTTATGTGTTGTAACATTGCATCAGGTCGACCTAAGGGAGGCCCAGGACCAGGGGCCAATAAATATAATCGTCACTTGGTGTTGGCCGTGTTGGCTGTGAGCACCTCCGATCGGCACGGCTCGCTACGTACGGTGCAGAAAAAAAGTTCGGCGTGCGTACATACGAACTCGGGTCGCCAGGGTCGTGGACCGGGGCACACCACGCTGCCCGCCGTCACAAACGCAACACAAAAAGCGCCGCCGTTACCGTGCAGAACTCGGGAAAGGAGACTTTCCCGTCGCCGTCCGCGTCGGCCGAGATGATGCTCTTGTCCACGATCTGCTGGAGCTGCGGGTCGCGCAGATTGCGGCCCACCATGGTTTTGAGCACGCCGAAGAGCTCCCCGTTGGTGATGAAGCCGTCGCGGTCCACGTCGTAAATCTGGAAGGCGACTGCGACGCCGCAGTTCCGCGCGAACGTGAACAAGATGTGCGAAAGAAGTCCAACATGCATACATACAAGAGAGACTGCATAGGGGCGGCCACTCGGTCCGTTTGAACTCGTTCGGGTGTGGAGATCTACTCGAGAATGTCATCGAGGCGTTCGCGTGAAGAGTCCCAGTGCAGAAGCCGCTTCCACCACTGCCACGTGCGTTGTGTGTAGGGGAAGGGAGGAGGGCACACTTGCACCGCTCTCTGCGGACAAAACACTCCCCCCCACCCTCCACACGCAGCTTCCACGCGTGACCTCTGGTTCTGTGCTCCGTCATGTATGATGCAGTCCTCGACTTTCGAACACCCGACTTACGAACACCTGTGCTTACGAGCCAGCTTCCATGAAATAAAATGTATTTTTTTTACATTATTGGTCGCGAAAGCCTACGTGTTAAACAGAACGCAAACCGCAAACTCGTACTTGCAAACTAAACCGCGGAACGACTGTATTTTGTTGAGCAGAGCGGTCCTCCGCGACAGCCTCGCGCTGGGAGTGTGCGTGCACACGCACGTGTGTGTATGTGAAAGTGTGTGTGTATGTGAAAGTGTGTGTATGTGAAAGTGTGTGTGTATGTGAAAGTGTGTGTGTATGTCGACTCAGCCTCAAATGAGTACCTGGTGCGGTGTGTAAACATTGCCACCAGGGAGACAAAGGCGGTCGGGCGTGGCGCTGGCCACCCACCCCCTCGTGTACCGTTCCGGCCTTCATAGGTGCTCGCTAACAGCACTTGCCCCTACAGTCTGTTAAGGCTATATGGGGGATCTTTGTTCTTTTTCTTTGTATGTGAAAGTGTGTGTGTATGTGAAAGTGTGTGTGTATGTGAAAGTGTGTGTGTATGTGAGCGGTAGCGTAGTGGTTAGCGCTACGCTGCGCTATGAACCAAGCGACCCGGGGTCGATTCCCGCTCACGGCCAACACGTGACGATTATTTGAACCGGTCCCGGGCCTCCCCTAGGTCGACTCAGCCTCAAATGAGTACCTGGTGCGGTGTGTAAACATTGCCACTAGGGAGACAAAGGCGGTCGGGCGTGGTGCTGGCCACCCACCCCCTCGTGTACCGTTCCAGCCTTCATAGGTGCTCGCTGACAGCACTTGCCCCTACAGTCTGTTAAGGCTATACGGGGGATCTTTGTATGTGAAAGTGTGTGTGTGTGTGTACGCATGGTGGGGACAGGTGTGTGCGTGGCGATGCCGCACACACGCCTGTCACACCCGGGTCAGGACTCACACTTTAACTTCTCTTCTTTGGTGCCGTTGATGGTGAATCGCGAGATTCCTTCGATGAATTCTGCCGACCGGACAACAGCAGGAGCGAGCATCTCCTGTTAGTCCAGGAAACCCTACGGAGTGTTCAGGGCTCATACTCTGGAGGGCCCTGCCAGGATTGTACACGTACACATCTACAATTCACTGCTTGGTAAGGGCCTCCCCACCGCGGAGACTGTTTGACCATACTTCATCTCATGCTGGCCAGCACTGAATGGTGAAGGAGGGGAGCATCGACGTGGGACCTTAGTACAGTACAGCAAATTAGTGTTTTGTCTGCTGAAAATTTCACCCCAAAATAACGCCCCGATCTTCACCAAATCGGCGCTCTCCCGAGTCAAGCGGCACGCGTTTATGTAGCAAACATCATCCGAAGAGCACTGTTGGCTACGTACCGTGGGCGAGGAGTCCAACGTGGAGGATGGAGGTAAGCAGCCTGCAGGTGCGCAATGTCAGTATGGAAGATGCGGAATAGAACTTGGTAGGAACGCGAGGAGGTTGTGATGGGTGAGAGACAATTGCAGGATTGCGTAAGGAACTTGGGAGGTTGGGAATCAAGTGCGCAGGGCTGGGAGGAGCGTACCAGGGCAAGCAACCTGGAGGTTCTGGATAGCACGCGGCGATTGGTCAACGCAGATAAACTGAAAACTATGACTAGACAATTTTTTTTTATTTTACCAGGTAAGGCGACCTCAACGAAGCGGCTTATTTATAGCAGCCAAACACCGTAAACGCACGTCGATTCCAAATGTGGAGGGAAAAAACCCCAGAGGACGCGGAGAAAAATCGACGCGACCACGGGGAGAAAATACAAACTCCAAATACCCAGTAGGCGTCATGGTCGTGGTTTAAACCCGCGGAGAGGTCGTTCACATCTCCGAGCACCCCCCCCCCTCCCCCCCCCCCCATCGAATGAATGAATGCTCGCCTGCGAAGTCGACCTCTCCGTCTCCGTCCGAGTCGAGGATGTCCACCACGCGTCGCACCAAGGGGTTGTTGTGCAGCTCCGGGAGCGACAGGAACTCATCCGCGCTCAACGCCCCGGAAGAGTCCAGGTCGAGTTTGTGGAACCGCGCGCTTAGACGGCGCAGCTCCCCCACCTTCACTGCGGTGGACACGGGTGGACGAGACACTTGACGTGGTGGGGCCGGGGGTGGGGTGGAGGCGGTTGCTCGGGTGTTGAATCACGAGGTGATGATGATGAACACATGGGTGAACGATACGGGCGGTACAAGGTGGGACGAGATAGAAACGGCAGGTGTATTTCCCACTCGGTAAAGGCCACAGAGCTAAGACGCGCTTCTATTTTTCTTCTAAGGGCAACTCGGCCAGCAGACACCGTCGAAGCATTCCACACTGCCGGGGGAAATGGAACGGACGCAGCTACGCACAGACACGCAGATCCGAACGCGCATATACAAAGATCCCCCGTATAGGCTGAACAAACTGTTGGGGCAAGTTCTGTTAGCGAGCAGCTATGAAGGCCGGGACGGCACGCGAAGGGTATAAATGGCCAACACCACGCCCGACCGCCTTTGTCTCCCTAGTGGCGATGTTTACACACCGCACCAGGTACTCATTTGAGGTTGAGTCGATCTAGGAGAAGTCCAGGATCGGTTCAGATATCCATCACTGGGTGTTGGTCGTGAGAGAGAACCGAACTGGGGTCGCCGGGGTTCAGAGCGCAGCGCGCTAACCGCTATGCCACCGCTCCCTCCACACACACACACAAGACACAGACGCTCACTACTACAGGACACTGCCAGAGCCCGTCACTCGACTCGAGAACCTTTTTTCTTGGGGTCGCTGGCCATGAGGCGCGGAGAGGCGGACGTGAAGGTCGAAGAACTCCGTGATGAGTAGCCGAGTGCGAGGGTACAGAGCGTACGGCGAAGAGGGGAAGACTCAGAGTGGAGAGCACAGAGTGGAGAATGGACGATGAGAAATCTATATAGGGTGTGGGCTACGAAGCGAAAAGAGACCGTTGAAGAGTGGAAACTGAAGGGTGGAGAGTGGAAGGACGAGGGGGTGGAGGTCGGAGAGAGGAACGCGAAGGTGCAGGTCGGGGAGCAGGCAAGTGGAGAGCCAACGACGATGTGAAAGACACCAATGAAGATCACAAAGTGAAGAGCAGAGAGGGGGCACAGATGCCCGGGCACCTCCTTCTGAAACTACCCCCCCCTCCCTGCTCACACGGAGACCGTTAAGACCTCCTCCTCCTATAAGGCCCTGCGTAACCAATTATCGCCCCGGTAATCTCTGCGGTAATCCCCTCCCAGTAATCCCGGAGAAACAATCTCCCCCCCCCCACACCACCCCTTGTCATTAATCCCGGAGAAACCCCCTGCCACCCCGCGCAGGATTGTGGGAGGTACGGCGACTCATAGAGGCCTCCATCCAGCAGTGGATAAACCATAGCCGACGGTGATAAAGTTATCATCGGTGGATGTCCTCTCGGACACGTTACAACTCCCCCCCCCCCCCGCCAACCTTCGTAGCCCTGTGCCTTTGGCTCCTCTGTCCCGGCCCCCAACCCCCTCCTTCCAGTGCAGTTACACCGCCTGCACACTCCTTAGCCACGCCGCTGTTAGCACGAGTGTGGTGATGCTGAAAGCGGTCGCGCGACACAGCGGTCACGCACGGTGGCCCGCGTTGATGGAGATCGCTCGGGCGACGATGGCCCGGTCGGTGGTCGAGACTCACGACGGAGGAGGAGTTTGGACGTCCACACGCGGGAGACGGAGCGACCACGCGAACTCGGCTGGCGTGCGGGTTGACAGGTGGGTTAGTGCATCGCGGAGCCCCAAGGGAGATTTGTTTTTTTTTTTGGGCCACGTCGATGTCTCACACGTACACATCACAATGCCGCTATCCGCGATGAATCCGTCGGCCTCATGGCTTTCCACAATAACTCTACCCCGTGGTTTTTGTTTCTACTGGCGGACACGATCTCGGCGGATCGGGTTCACAGATTATAAAACTTCTAAAGCACCCCTCCCCCCCCCCCCCCCCCCAACTGAAGCGCGGTTCATCTGCACGAAAATAGCCGCCACGCGTAATCGTATTTAAAACAGAACATTGATTGGCCGGCCGAGACGGGAGCGGTGGCGCAGCGGTTAGCACACAGCGCGACCTGAACCATTTCAGCTGAATTCCCCCGGCCGCGGCCAACGCCAGCAGGAAGTGAGTGACGTCTGACACGGTCCCTGGGTTTTCAGCACCCTTCAACCAAGCCGCATTGACCATTGTCACTCCACTGCTGGATGAAACTCGACATGGCATGCAGTGTCGGTATTTTGACCATACTTTGCTACGACGGTCTATGCGGATTGGTTAAGTTGGCGACGGTGGCCGAGGACTGGTTTTTAAGATAAAATGTTTGTTCTTGTAACGTTCTGACCTGCCCCTACCGGACATCTGTGAAACATAACTTTATAGCTCATTGGGTTCCTCTAGCATACCTGCATATTCTGATTGAATCGCACCTATGTTAGCCGTGGCCAAGGATCAAAAACCGAATCACGGAGTTCAGAGCAGTGTATTGAACTTTTTTTGCATCATACGTGTCCAACCGTGCTAATCGGAGGTGCATTAACCACTGCGCCTACCGCTCCATCTCTCTTGGGGACACGCTGATTGACGTGTTCAATCAATGCATTGGCAGGAAGTATTTTTTCAATCCACTGCTGGAATTCTCGTTAAATAAGCGGAATGAATGACAACGAAATGCTTCATGAACATAATTACTGGATTAATTACTCGGTGAACGACTGTGGAATCAAGACCAGCCCCCCCACCCCATCCAACTCTTTCCCTGTAATTGAGATCAGTGTTCACATTGTCAATCGGCCGCTCTGCTAAGATTACAATTTCGTTGTGGAATTAGCATTTACGCTCACCTCTCCCGCCGGCGATCGAGTACGCGATTGCACGTCCAGCAATTTTATGCAGCTTGCATAATGACGATGATGACGACGGCAATGGTGATGGAGAAAGACCACCGCTCCCACTTTCAAAAACAGCTGCTGGCAGACGATATTTAAACTTTGATTTAAATTTTGATTTAAAGCTTTCGTGACTGCAGTAATTCATGTTCTTAGCTCTTTCGGTAAAGTCACGTTGAAGGGAAACAATAAAATATATATAAAATTATTGATATTTAAACTATTAAGCTATTAACTTTTTTTTGTTGTATTTTACCAGGTAAGACCCACTGAGCGCTACAGCTGGTTTTCATAAGCGACCTGGTTATCACAAATGATAGCTCAACGAAGTGGCTTATCGTGTGGAATTTATAGCAGCCAAATGCTCAAAACACACACGTCGATTCTAAAGGTGGAGGAAAAAACCGGAGGACCGGAGAAAAATCCACACGACCACGGGGAGAACATGCAAACTCCAAATATACAGGCATCAGGGTCGGGATCAAACCCACAACGTCCTGTATACCAGGCAAGGTATTTAATATCTTGTCATCGCGGCGCTCCACTTGCAAGCAACTTGGCTGCACCGATTGGATTACTCGAGCGGAAAATTGGCGATGTCACAACGCTCTGTAATTGTATCACGCTCATTCCCTTCTATCGCTGCTGCAAAGGCCCTCTTGAAGGTGTGTTTGTGTTAACGAATGGCTCGAGCCAAAGATATTTAAAAGTCCAAAGAATGTTAGTGGACCTTGTGAGACGTGTGAGGCTCGCAGGGAGCCCCCCACTGCCGTGCCACCTCGTCCTTGGGAAAATTGAAAGAGACAAGAGGAAGAAAAACACGCACGTGGCAAGGGTGGGGGGGGACATCAAGGGGGTGGACCCATCTCCGCACAGGGGGAACATTGTTAGGATATGCCCGCACACATTCAGGGTCGACCTCCTAAGTCTTCTCCGACACTGACGGATGGATGTGCCCCTCGGTAAAGGAAGTGTTCTCTCCACCTCTGGTTTAAATGCTTATGATGGACATCTGTGAAATCTTTTGGACACCTGTGAAAAGTAGCTTCACAGCTCAGATTCCTCCGGTATAAATATTTCAATTCCGATCATTGACCGCTAGTGGGAAACTATATTGGTGGGGAATGGACACCCACAGGAAGGGGGGCAGGTGGAGGCGGCCGTGCAGTAATTCACAATTCGTGGCGTGGCCCTGCAATAGCACACTCACGGTTCAAATCCAGCGGCAGCCCTGATTATAACTGCGAGTGTAATAATCATAATACACGCCGCCTGCTTCAAAAGTGGACATTCAAGATCCCCGATGTCATACGCAACACCAGTGTGCCGGCTTCTGCAATCAACATTTGCCAAATTCAAAAACATTAAAAGCAAATTACTCAAATTGGTATTACACACAGCAGCAATTACCTACTGGCAGCAGAATACAGCCCCGGTGGGTCTCCTCTTGCAAAGGAGATGAAACTCGGTCTCTGAAATTCAAATCTCGCAAATCAAGAAAATTGCCACTACGTGCACGTGACAAGACAATCCTCTGATTTCACTCAGGCGTAGGAGCCGGCCCCTTCCTCCCTGAATTCTGAGCCGCCACTGATATTTATCCATCCATTCATTCCTTTATTCGTTCGTCCGTTCATTCGTTGGTTTTATTTTATTTTTGCACAAAATGTCTCGGCAACATGCAGCACGGGGTCCGTCCATCCGTTCACACGAGCGGGCGACGCGTTTTGATTGGAGGCGACAAGGGGTGCTCGCAAAACCACGGCGGGCAACACCGGAGCGCCCTCCCCCTGCCCCGCCCACCGCACCCCCCGCCCCCCACCCCCATCACAGCACCCCCCAAAACCTCTCCGTGCAGCTGTGTCAATTTATTCGTTTTTTTGGTCGATTAAAAACACTTATTACAATAACGGTAAATAATATTATCATCATCAATAATAAGAACAGCAGGATCTGAATCAATTAGCCGGAGAGGATGGGATGTGGATACATCATGGCGGCGATGTCAACGAGCGGAAAAATAAACTCCCCAAAATAAACAAAAATAATAAGAAACGTGAGATTATGTTGGTGGGTGGTGGGGGAAAGGGTACAGGGAATAGGAGAACACAGACACTGTGCTCAGTACAGCTGGTGAAATGGTTTTTGATTTTGGGTAAAGATTGTGACGTTTACATCATTAAGAATATCTTAATGCATGAAGAAAACCACTTACTTGCTTGTGTGCTTATTTTGCAGGGGGAAGGGGGGGGGTGAATAAATTCATCGAACGTTGTTAAAATCCGCACGCAACGCGTTTTCCATTTCTGCCAATACCCTTTCATCGCCCTCGCCAAACTGTACTCGAAAAAACGAAATCCCCCACAAGTAACAACGGAACCAGAAACACCCAACAAATGTAAAACCCGTAAACCCCCAAAGCCACAAGCCACCTCTCCCCCAAAATAAAACACGATTACTGTACAGCAAATAAGAAAATAAGATAAACCAAAAACAATAGGAAGTAAAGCAAACTTTCAACCAAAAAATAAAAATAAACCCCACGACAAATTTATACTCAAAACGGAAACGAGATATGCATACGGACAGATTGGTCCTCTCGGTATGCATCGTGAAAGCAGCAGGGGAGGCAGCACCCTTGGTTCAGGGGAGGACATCCCGTAAGGTCAGCGAGGGTCAGCCACCCAGGGAGGAGGGGGGTCAAGGATCAAAGGCTCCTCTCCCTCCTGGCTGCCTCCTGGGCGACTCTTCAAGTAGCGGCAGCCAGGCTCACCTCTGTCGAGACGCGCATCGGAGGACACACACACACACACACTCGCACACACGAGGAATCGCAAGCGGCAATCGGAAGGCACGACCTAAGGGACGGCGAAGTGGGAGAAGTAACGGCGGAGGAGGAGGAGGCGGCGGCCGGGGTCATTAACAGGCGGCGAGCATCGGTAACAGGAAACGGCGCGAGGTCGGTCGCAACTGATCGAGGCGCGACGCTTACGCACGCCACCGCCCCCACACGCGTTGGGGTTTGGGGGGGAATCGATGCCCCGGAGACAGGAGGACCACTCCCACCTCCTCGTTAACAGAAGACTTAAAAAGGAAATGGCGAAACGAAGAGATCTGTCAATGCTCCTGTGGGATTGAGCGCCGGCACCGCCATAGAAAACGGAAGTCCGTGGGAGGGATTTTTTTCGTCGTCATTGTCTCCATTTTTGTGAGTTTTTTTCAAAGTTATTATTTTTTAAAATTGATTTCCACTTGTACATTTTTTTTGTTTCTGTTTTCATTTTTTTTTCACCACCAACAAAATTTACTTTCAGAGCACAGTTCAAAAGGAGGCATACACAGGCAGGCAGGCA